ATTGGAAGCCATTCCTGGGGGTCATTACTGTTCCTACCGTGTTTCTCGGAAAATAAGACCTAGTTTATTTTCGGGGGATGCTCGCAACTATGTGAATATTATAAACAATCAAATTATCTGACCCCTTATCAATCAGGCTTTGACGGACCGCCTTGCACTCCTACCGAATGCCTCCTCCAATTGATGTTCTTAGTGCTCGCCGAGGAATTCCAGCACTACACCAGACACCATAAGCACTGCAGACCCCACTTCCAGCTGCGCCGGTGTCTCGCCGTCCTTCACTCACCCTGGACCCAAGACCAGGATCCAGCTTCCAGTGGGTAGACCTCTCCTACACCCAGGAACAGCTCTTATAAGAGCTAGTGATTATAATTCCTGGGGAGTATAGTGATATAGCAATACCCAGGATAGATACAGCCGTTTCCCCCACACATGAGATGAGACTATGTTGAAGGTAAGCAGGAACAGAATTTTAATGGAGGCACACTGGCCTTTTATGCAAGTTTCCCAACAAGGGTGAAACCCAGGTGGACCTTGTTGGGCACAGGGACACAAAGTGAATAAACCAATGAAAACAGAGTCATACAGTGAGACACTCCCATACACAAACAATAGAATCCCTCCTCTGTGCTTGGGAGATAATTGAATCAGGAACTGTACTAATCTAACCCAATTATCTCCAAGCACAGAAAAACATAAAATTTTATGAAACCCCAAAAAGTACCTTAAAAACACATAAAACACCATAGTTCCGATCTGGGTGAACAACATATCCAAAAATCACCCAGATCTGTTCAGGGGTTCAGGAATTTCCTGGAGGTCCTAGTTTTGACTGACCGTGCACATGGTCCTATGCCCAAAACAGTTCCAGGGAAATCATTGCTAACAGTCGGTCAAGTTCGGTAGTCTTTTACAGGTTTCCCTGCAGGCCCATAGTCTGTGGGCAGGAGGCTGGCAAGCAGGCCCCTCCAAGTACAAGTGGCGAGGTTACTTTCACCACATATCTTCCCTCCCAAGGGAAGATACCAGGTACCTGACCTCCTGTCGGTCGGTGCCTGAGTTAGTCAAGTAATCCACCCACAACAAACAATTACTGGACCTGGTGACTCCTGTAGTCTGTCTCAGTCCTGTACAACCCCAAGGGCTACATGGGCCTCTGGTTCTCCCAGGTCCTTTGTTGCTCTATGGCTTGGGGGTGTAGTTACTCGGTGGGCAGACACTAGCAGTCCTGTAGCCAGCGTTGCAGCTGGGTAGTGGGGTGAGTTGCTAGCTCCTGGATCAAGGACCAGGGGAGGGCAGAGGCTAACTGCCCTCTGTCCGGTTGCCAGCGCTTCTGCTGGGGTGATGGGTACATAGTTATGCCCTGTAACAAGGGGGCAGGTAGGGCAGAGGCTAGCAGCGCTCTGCCCGGTTGCCAGCGCTTCTGCTGGGGTGGCCTGAAGGGATAGTGCACCCTCGGGGCACTATAGTGTCAGGAAAACCACTGTTTTCCTGACACTATAGTGATCCTTTAAAAACTCAGGCATTGGTGATCGTCTGATAACCTGGTTTCGATCATATGTTTCAGACCGATTGCAATATGTGGCCATTTCTGATAGCGCTTCCCTCCCTCTTCCAGTCACGTGTGCTATTCCCCAAGGCTCCATACTCGGCCCACTGCTATTCAAATTTTTTATAAATGATCTGCCTACCATCTGCAAATCCTCAATTGTACACATTCATGCAGACGACACTGTAATCTACGCTAGTAAACCCACACTGACAAAACTGTTACAATGATCTTTGGAACTGTACCTAAATTACGTAAACTACAAAATCAGCAACTGTGTATCAGAACAAATTCAAATAGCACACTGACAGCAGTCTGCTTTTATAAATATCTAGGTATGTTGCTAGACACCAATTTATCCTTTGGCCTTCACATCTCTTCAAAACCTTACCCAAAACTAGGTGCCCTGTACAGAAACAAATCCTACCTAAGCCCTACAGTAAGGAAACAGATAGTGCAACAAATGCTAATGCCAGTCATTGATTATGGGGATGTAGTGTATGCACCCGCACCGCAAACCCACCTTCGTAAAATTAATACGTTATATAATTCATTCTGCCACTTTGTACTATAATGTAATTACTTTACCCACCACTGTGACATGTTAAAAGAGCTAAACTGGCTATTGCTGGAATCCCGACGCACTCTTCATCTTTCCAGCCTTGTGCATAAGAACGTTTCTGGGAAGCTCCCACCCTACCTGAGTAGAATGCTCTCCCCAGCTGTTCCCACCTCCTATAACCTCCGATCCAGTACTAGCATGATATTTAGCATACCGCCATACAAAAATAAAGTGTCTCAATCATCCTTTTTTTCTACAGAGCACCACAATTATGGAATAACCTCAGGGACACAGTCAAATCTTCATTTAATCTAAAATCTTTTAAGAAATCTATGGCAATATACCTCAGCACAGAATGCACCTGTCATGGTTGAATATATTTATTACCTGTCATGAATTAAATTTATATATGTGTGTATGTATTATATATATAGTTTGTATATTGTATTTTTGTAATATTGTATCCTATTGTAACAATGCAATGTTTTGTGGACCTAGGACATACTTGAAAACGAGAGAAACCTCAATGTATCCATCCTGGTAAAATATTTTATAAATAAATAAATATAAGCCCTACCCTGAAAATAAGCCCTAGTCGCTTGTTTGCTAAATCTATGTTCGGGAATTTTCCCCGAACATAGCTTCGCAGGATTCCATTCGCGAGTAAGCTAATCTATGTTCGGGGGAATTCCTCAGAACGGAGATCTGTTTTCTAGTGCATGCTTGCTACCGTTTTTTCCCTCGAAACAAGACATCCCCAGAAAAAAGCCCCAGTGTGGTTTTCGGGGGGAAAATTAATATAAGACCCAGTCTTATTTTTGGGGGAAACACGGTATTATCATCTTAAATGAATTCAAAAACCTTCAATACATGAGTGAAGCCAAAATATTCAATCTGAGACAAGGCAGGTAAGATACTTTTTTATCCAGGTTCACCTATATTATTACCTATAGTACTAAAAATTTCAAAGCTGATGCCTCTTTTATACAATTTGCTGATGAATATATGGGATTTGCTTTTCCAGCACCTCTTATTCCTCCAAATAACCTTATTGCCTCGGTTTCTAGGACCACTGAATCTCCTTTGTTGAACCAAATTCATATTACTCAGGTCTCATCAGTACAAAGTTCCTCTGTTCAAACAAATGCATTGTTTAAAACCTGCTGGCCATACAGATATATTTAAACCATTTTCTGTTTAGGACTTTTGGTGGCCTAATCTAAGGAAAGTCATTTCAGAATTGGAGTCTTTCTGTGTGCCCTGTGCCAAGGTAAACATTCTTAAAATGGCTCCTTGTTGGTTATTACAACCTCTCTCTATTCCCTTGAAACCATGAATCCACTTGTCTATAGACGTCATAGTCGGCCTACCTCCTTCCGGGGTGCATAGTTTGTATTTATGGTGTTTGCTTGATTCTCCAAAGCAGCTCAATTTATTCCATTGCATAAACTCTCAACTTCTCAAGAACTATCGTTCATTTTTATTCGGTAGATATCGAGGATACAAGGGTTTCCCATGAACATTGTTTCTGATCAAGGTAGTCAGTATGTGCTTAGATTCTGGAGGTAGTTTTGCTCGGAGATTATTTACTTTAGTAATTTGTTCCCCTCTCCCTCCACCCCATTATTTTCTCATTATAATGTATACCATGCCTATGTTTTGTGTGAAAGCATGCAGGTCAGATAGTATATGTGTGTGACACGAGTGTCAATGTGTGTGAAGCCTGTGATGCATATGTGGACTACATTATATATTTAAAAGACTGTGTCAATTATTTTCCACCCTTGACAAATGTACCACATTGCCCTTATTGAAAAACAGACTTTAATTTTCGAATGTTCAGATTGTTGACTTGTTACCAAACTCAGCTATTGCTTTCTTATTTAGATATTTTCATTTTGTCCCTAGGCAGGCCCCTTCTTCTGGTCACTCACACTACATGACTCAGAACCATATTTTTCCAACTCACAGTGACCAATCAGTCACATACTCTTCCCCCACACTCTCCACCATACCTATCTGAATGTCAACCATGCTCCAAAACACCAAAACATTATTCCTCCTTCATACCTACCTGAATGTCACGCACTCTCCCAAAAAAATCTAAGCAGACTGTCGCACGCTCTCCAAATGCACTTACCAGTCTGACATACTCTTTCTCACATCTACCTGCCTGTCACGCACTCTTCAAAACACTAAGCAGGAACCCTAAAAGAAAATATCCAGCAGAATCTAAATTCCATTCCAGACAGCTACTTACGGTTCCGATCAATTCAGGCTGGGTGATCTGTAATTGCGTACCTGGAGAAATTACACAATAACGCCTACTGACGATTAATGGGTTTGCTGACGATGAAATAGGCAATTGTCTTTCTCAACTGGCAAATAAGAAGACTTGACCATCCACATAGTTTTTCATCAGATTTGTCTAGACAGACTGTTAATGTGATATTTCAGGGCACTAAAAACTATTACCAGACCACACGTGACAAAGAGCTGAATACGTAGCTTTTTAAGATAGGTAGTGGGTAACCTGCCTAGCAACTGTATGCAGCACTCTTTGTTATACATAGGCAGGAGGATTACACTTTACTATTCAAGAACAGGCCATGCTCCGTGTATGCCTCAGACAACGCAGCTGTTGACATGGCTAATTTTTGAAAAATACTCAGTTTTTCTAAGAATATGTGATTTACTTGTTATCGCTTTGCATTTCTTTAGTATTCAGTATTTAATATAATTTGTTCATTAATATGTTGTCTACAAATAAATACAAGTCTTTTGTTTGTTTTACCACTTTTTTAATATTTTAACAAAACACACACATAAGTCAAATAAAAAAAAATAAAATTATATAAATATATAATATATATATATATATATAGTCATGGGAAAAAGAAAGTACACCATCTTTGAATTATATGGTTTTACATATCAGGACATAATCAATCTGTTCCTTAGCAGGTCTTAAAATTAGGTAAATATAACCTCAGATGAATAACTCATTACATATTACACTGTGTCATGATTTAACAAAAATAAAGCCAAAATGGAGAATTCATGTGTGAAAAACTAAGTAAACCTTATGATTCAATAGCTTGTATCATTTTCTCACATCATTGTGAAGGAAATTTGTCACAATCTACTTTACAATGTTGCTTCAGTTCATGGAGGTTTGCTGGCATTTGTTTATGGACAGCTTTCTTAAAGCGACAGTGTAGGCACCCAGATGGGGTGCCAACTCCCATCACCCATAACCCTGCAAGTGTAATTAGTGCAGTTTTTATAAACTGCAATAATTACCTGTCAGGGTTAAGTCCTGCTCTAGTGGACGGCCTCGCGCTATGCATGAGGACCTATGGCGTCGCCAGAAGCCCCATAGGAAAGCATTAAATAATGCTTTCCTATGGGGAGGTCTAATGCGTGCGCGTGGCCATTGCCGCGGATGCGCATTAGGTCACCCCCGCCGGCATACGTTGGCGGGAAGGAGCCTGACCCAGCACCGAGGGATTCCCGGCACTGGATTCAGGTACGTGTCCGAAGGGGTTTTAACCCCTTCAGTGACGTGGGATGGGGCGCGGGAGGGAGGGGGGCACTCCAGGATTCTGTAGGAAAACGGTTTTGATTTCCTGGCACTAGAGAATCCCTTTAAAGTCCACAACAGCATTTCATTGAGGTCTGGACTTTGACAGGGTCATTGCAATACCATGATTCTTTTTGGTTTTACCCATTCTGTTGTAGGTTTGCTGGTGTGCTTGGGATCATTGTCCTGTTACATGACCCAATTTTGGCCAGGCTTGAGCTGTCGGACTGATGGCCTCACATTTGACTCTAGAATACTTTGGTATACAAAGGAGTTCATGATCAACTCAATGACTGCAAGGTTCCCAGGTCCTGTAGTTACAAAACAAGCCCTTTCCACCACTGTGCTTGACACTTGGTTTGAGATGTTTGTGCTGATATATTGGGTTTCACCAAACGTGGTCTCATCTGTCCAATGGACATTGTTCCAGAAGTCTTGTGGTTTGTTCAGATGCAAGTTTGCAAACCTATGCTGTGCTGCCATGTTCTTTTTAGAGAGAATAGGTCTTCTCCTGGCAACCCTTTCGAAAATCCAGTCTTTTTTGAATTTTATGGTCTTGAACCTGCTATGTTTACAGAAAAAAGGGTTAATCCTAGCTGGACCTGGCACCCAGACCACTTCATTAAGCTGAAGTGGTCTGGGTCCTTTAACATGATATGGCCTGCAAAGTCTGAGATGTAACTATTAGGTTTTTTGCAATTTGTCTGAGCTTTGCAGGGTCTGACATTTGGGGTGAATTTGCTGGGACGTCCATTCCTGGGAAGATTGGCAATTGTCTTGTATGTTTTACAATTTTGAATAATCTTTCTCATTGTAGAATGACAAACTTTAAATTGTTTGGAAATGGCCTTACAACCCTTCCAAGTTTGATGAGCAACAACAGTTACTTCTGTAAGATTATTGCTGATGCCTTTCCTCCTTGACACCTAAATGCTTCAGACAAGCAAACTGCTAGAACTTTGGCTTTTAAAAAGGCGGTCACACTTGCTGATGATCAATTAATTAAGAACAGTTGATTAGCAGCACCTGTCTGCTACGTAGCCTCTTAATTCCTATGGAAGCAGTAAGGGTGTACATGGATTCTCCATTTTGGCTTTATTTTTGTAAAACAAATCATGACACTGTATCTCTGCAAAGAAGAGCTCACTAACACAGATTTGTGAACAATATTTGAGAGAAATAGGCCTTTTGTGTACATAGAAAATGTCTTAGATCTTAGAGTTCAGCTCATGAAAAATGGGGGCAAAAACAAAAGTGTTGCGTTTATAATTTTCTTCATTGTATAAATGGTTTGCCAAAATTCAGAGTATGGTTTGAGAAGTCAATATTTTTATTAATTAATGAACCAATTTCAATGATATTACATACAATGAATGCTTAAAGTATAGAGATTTGTTTGACTAGGTACGGAAGATGACATCTTTTAAATGAGCTCCATTTGGTGCCTCGCAAAGTCAGTCTCTTTCGATTTCATTGTTCATGACATTAGTTAATGTTTGAGGCTCTAATTTCTGCATGTATATTTTCATTGAGGTGCTCAGGTGTAGATGATTTGTTCACGTACACCCGTTCCTTCATATATCCCCACAGGCAGAAATCGGAAGCTGAAATGTGTTAAAACCACATTTCAAGACGATTTTTCACTACAGGACGTAAACATTTTTTTTTCCAAATCATATTCCAGTATCTCACACCAATAAAATTCCACTATTTTCGGGGGCAGAGCCAAGCTACTGAGCCGAACAGTTGCATGCAAGCCGTGCTCCATGACCAGACACCTATTTACTGCACTTTTACTAACCTATGCCCCAAATAAAATCGACCACACCTGGACCCCCAGGCAACCCACATCGACATGGGTCGAAAAATTAAAAAAACAAAAACAGGGCAAATCGAAACTGGGCACCAGCATCAGGGACTTATGGCGGCAGGCACTTGGCGCTCCAATGCCCAAAATGGCCGACTACCTAGGTGAGAGCTCTGATTTCTCAGACGACCCCACCATGGAGCCTGAGGAACTCCACTTACCCGCCCAGCGTGCGCTAAACCCGAACCCAATTTATACAGCTCCCAAACCGGACGCCACACTATTGACCAAAGCCAATATGCAGGAGATGCTGGCGGGCCTACAGAGGGATCTCCAGGGGGACATGGCCGCACTCCACAAAGACCTGCAAGGCCTAACTGGCCGCATGGGAACCCTGGAAAAGGACGCTCATGACTCTAAGGCACAACTCCTCCACGTGCAGCAAGAGATCCACACTCTCCAACGTCCGAACACTGCCACAGAACAGAGGCTCGCTGCAATGGAGGATTCCAGACGCAGTAGGAACCTCAAGATTAGGGGGCTGGCTGAAGCGGTCCCAGACGCGGAACAACCGCATTTCGCACAACGGTTCCTTACGGCGATAGTCTCAACCAAACAAGCCAAAACAGTGGTGATGGAGGAACTGTTTCGAATCCCAAGACATGCCAGGGCACCCACCTCGGCCCCAAGAGACCTGATTATGCGCTTCCAAACAAGGCAAGATAAGGCAGCGGTACTGGTGGCGTTTAAGTGGAAAACCCCATACACCTTTGAAAACTCAACGCTGACCTTCTTCGCTGACTTGTCAGGAAGTACACTGGGATGGCACATGACTCAACAGCCCTTTACAGCACAGCTTCATGCTCGGGACATCTCCTACATCCTAAGGGATCTCGCACCCTGATGGTCCTGCAGAACGGTAGCGCCTACAGAGTCCAAGATCTGGAAGGAGCAGCGGCCATATCAGAGACACTAGGCCTCCCACAAGACACACTCACTGGTAGGGGGTCGGGGACCACTGCCACGGCGCACACCTGAGACCCATCAGGCACAACACCATTCGTGCCGCGGAGACTCCTAAAGAGCTGTCACCACTTGAACTTAAACCATTGGCCACTACGGAGAGCCCTGCGCCAATTACAAAACTCTAACCACATGCGGTTGTTGCAGGTTCCGTTTACTGTACTGAAGTTTACTGACTCTTGAAAAACCTAATTTTTTCATTAGTTTCAAAGTGCCAAAATATGGTCTCTTGTGGTATACTGACACCCTATACCCTTTAGTTTAACACCTGAAACACCGGACTGATGTTTGCTTTTAACGGACTGCAAATTGTCCAGACTCACGTGGTGGCCAAGCTAAACTGGGCTTTATCCACAAGGCCTCCACCGCCACCTACTAGTTCACACAGAACGCATAATACCCTATCGCTAGCCGAAGCGCCCATTCACTCCCTGCATAGCGCCCACCCCCATGTAGCCAGCCACTGACACTAGCACAGTTGCGCTAAAGAACACACCGAGGACACAACAGTTCAACCTATTATGTTCACTCTCACTAGGGGTGGCCTAATGCTTATTAAGAGCTGACCAGCTTGATTTAACGGCATCCTGTTTTACACGCAGTCTAAATGTGTAGCCTATGTGTACCGCTAAACCGACTTGCATAATGAGACGCATATCGCATATCTACACATAACTTATAACCACGCAGGCTCAAAATGGTCTTCATACCAGTATATAAAAATGGTGCATTGTGATTCCATGCCATGCCTTAACAACTCAATGTTAACTGTTCAATCGTATGTACATGCCTTTGGGGCATGGCAAACGCACTCGTTACTGCTTTTCCTTTATGCACTAAAAAATAAAGAATTTAAAATAAAAAAATTCCAGTATTTGTACTTGTTGTTCTTTGTGAAATTACCCATGACCACTCTCCCAAGACTGTTATATGTACCTGTAACAAAAAAATCTGAACTACTAACAAATAAGTTATATTTAAGTAAGTCCAATTTTGGTCCACTGTGTATTTTCTGTATAAATATGTATCAATTCACTTATTTATTTTTTTAAAAAGTTACATTACAGCAAGTTTTGAATCTCTTCTACCATTACAGCATATTGTACTATTTGTGGTGCTCACTGTGAAAGCACGTACACACACACTATTTCAAAGTAAAGCAAACCCTAAAGTAAATTGTAATGTTTTAGAAAACAGAGATGAAATGAATGTCAATGAACAAAAAAATGTAAACATTAATATCCATATGGTGACACAAAACCGTAAACTGTATATGATCCAGCAAAGTCTGTTTTGGAATATCACAACCTGGTGACTCCAAGCATGGGATTGTCTAAGACGAGGATCTGTAAGCCTGTTTTCATGATGTATTATGGATAAATGAGCAGGATTCATGGAAAAGAAATAAAATTGTATTGTTACTACACAAATTAGTCACACCATAACACATTATATAAAACAATACATAGATTAATTAATGGGACACTGTCAATGCTGGACTCATGTGAAACACCATTCTCCTTCTGTTTAATCTCCAATTTACATTTTTTTTTTTTTACAAATAAATAATTATATAACATGTGCTCTGTACAAGCCCTCCATATACACAACAGGGGGAAAAAAGGTTTGTTCATACTAATAATTACTTGATAGACTATATTTAGTATTTTCAATAATTAAAAAAAATTCCCATTTGAGTTGTTTTTTTTTTTTTTTAAATCTTTTGCTCCAAATAAAATCTTACATTTCTGGATAAAAACTAATTAATACATAAAAACTATAATGGTTGACTATGTTTGCAAAATAATGTTACCGTGTTTTACAGATTGATTGATTGATATTCACCTCTGTACAGGTACTTGTGCTGCACTTAGTCTCAAGTGCTGAAGGCAACCGACTTCTGGAAAAAAGAACACACAATAACATAAATGCTAACAACAATTTGGAAAAACAAAAACAAATATTTAACAGTTAAAGAGCAATGACTTTAGATAAAAGAGTGATAACGTTGCAGAGACTGACATCTCCACAACCTTTGGAATAACACAAACAAAACAAAAATGTGGCCAACAAGCCAACTCCAAGATCAGTCGTCCTAATACTAAGTGGCCGGTTCTATGCCATAACATTGGTCAAATGGCTCAATACCGAACAGGCGCACAACCGTGATAAAACCAAAGAGGCTGATGTCTCCACAGCCTTCACAGGCACTGAATGAGAGGCAGCCCGCAAGTTGCAACCTACCTTTAGCAGGTAGGGCTATGGACAACTTGCTACCTCGTCTACCGCAAATGTGCACAGGACAAAACACTGTCCAATGGGCAAAAGACATGAGAAGAGAGAACACAAACAAAACAAAAAATGCAGTCAACTCCAAGATCAGTTGGCCAAATGCTATGTGGTCATATCCATGCCACAAATTTAGCAACATTTTAGTCACTAGAGCATGGAAAGGCAACATTCGGCACTCCAGATGTTTTGGACTACACCTCATGTTTTGGACTTATATCTTATAGCCATAATGCTGGCAAAGCATCAGGGGAGATGTAGTCCACAACATCTGGAATGCTGAAGGTTGCCTATTCCTGCAACAGAGGCAAATACATGATGTACGTGTCATTTTATCCAATTTTCTTAAACAATATTGTGTGGTACTGCTTCAGACAACGAATGCCAGTCAGTTATCAATAATCCATCATTTGCCCTGATTGCCTGACCAACAATTCTTCAACATGGGAGTTTGACATTGGTTCATAGGGTCCCCCTACTAAATCAGCTAACACCATTTTTGCATAAATGGCATTGATACCAAAATTAATTTGCTTTATATGATATTTTAGCATGTGGCTATGGAATGTCTGAATATCTCATGTTTGGCAAAAGTTTGCCTGGCAGTCGACATCCTTGGGAAGTTGATTACTTTTAAAGGAACACTAAAGCATTAGGAAGATAAACCTGTCCATAGATAAGTCCCTCCCGTATGTGCAAAAAATAAAACAGAAGTTTTATTTGAATCGCCTTTTTCCAGAGCCCAGGCTCACTCGCTCAGTACTGCTTACCTCTCTGTATCCCCACAACATGATAGAGTAGGTACGGCCTCCTCCAGGATGGTCTAATCCAAAGCTCCTCATAGAGGAGCATTAAGAACCTGGTGCGCATGGGCAGCAAGGACCGCACAAGCAGCCAAGCTTCAGGAAAGCATCGTATCTATGCTTCCCTATGGCGTTCCACACCTCGTGACTGATTTTTACTCTGTCAGTGTTGTGGAAGCTAGGGATCGACCGATATTGATTTTTTTAGAGCCGATACCGATAATCTGTGAACATTCGGGCTGATAGCCGATAACTTACCGATACTCTGTACATTTATCGTTTTGAAAAATTCAACTATTTCTGCACAAATCTACTGTTAACTAAACATGTTTATTATTTGTAATTTTTTTTGCAAATCTTTTTTTTATTAAGGTAAATGCACAAAATACACATGCCAGTCAGAAGTTAGGTTTTCAAGAATATGTGTGTGTGCGCAGTGGATGCAGTGATATTATTTGATTAGTGAATGCAGTGTGTGTGTATGTGTAGTGGATGCAGTGTGTGTGTTTGTGTAGTGTGTAAAGTGAATGCAGTGTGTGTATAGAGTGAATGCAGTGTGTTTGTGTAGAGTGTATATAATGAAAGCAGAGTGTGTGTGTGTGTAGTGTGTATAGTGAATGTGGTGTGTGTGTGTGTGTGTGTGTAAAGTGAATGCAGTGTGTATATAGTGAATGCATAATGAATGCAGAGTGTGTGTATAGTGAATGCAGTGTATATATAATGAATGCAGTGTGTGTGTGTTTGTGTAGTGTATAAAGTGAAGGCAGTGTGTTTGTGTAGAGTCTATATAATGAATGCAGAGTGTGTTTGTGTAGTGTGTAAAGTGAATGCAGTGTGTTTGTGTAGAGTGTATATAATGAATGCAGAGTGTGTGTGTTTGTGTAGTGTGTATAGTGAATGTAGTGTGTGTGTAAAGTGAATGCAGTGTGTGTAAAGTGAATGCAGTGTGTTTGTATTGCGATCCTTGTCTGCAGTTAGCACAGTCCTTTTGGGTACAAACATGCACAGTCTTTAAAAGTAAATTAATTCCAGGCACTTTATTTGTAAATCCACACAGGAGACAGCAGTAAATGAAAAAAACAATAATGTAACAAAATCCCTAGAAACAAAAGCCTAGCTCGTCTGAGCACTAACTAACTTCAGATTCCCTATCTCTCAGGGGTTAAACTATAACAAAATAATACTGGTTTCACCAACCTAGTGTCTTTGTCAGCTCTCAGCACTCCAGTGTTTAGTCAGCCTGCTGCTTCCAGCTCTTCAAGAGAGAAACAAACAAACATTCTCCCCTTACCTGCCGAGCAGGGAGGGGTTTATTCCCACTGCTGCAGCTGATTACCTGCAGCTGAGCAGTGGGTTGGAGACAGTCCAAAAAACCCTGGCCTGGATCTATGTCTCCCAAGAAAACCGCTAAACTGTGGAGTGGAGCACTGGCCCACCCTGCTCTCCAAATGCTCCACCCTCGGGGGCCCATAGCTAAATATTCATTTCAGTTATATACATACAGACACACACACTCCCCCTGGGGTTAAAAATCATATGCCTCTCTGAACAATTCAGTCGAAATATAAACTCCCTCACAGACCACCCCATTCACCTTATCACAGTATATATAATGAATACAGAGTGTGTGTGTTTGTGTAGTGTGAGTATAGTAAATGCAGTGTGTATATATAATGAGTGCAGAGTGTGCGTGTGTTTGTGTAGGTATGTAATGTGTGTAAAATGGGAGGGGGCATTTATTTATTTTTTTAAAGATAGTTAATCTTTAAACCTTTTGTTTTAGTCCCCCCTCTCTGTTTCTTACCTGGCCAGGGAGGGGGGATATGGCATTCCCTGGTGGGTGGTGGCAAGGACTGTGCAGTGAAGGGCCCGCAGAAAGCTCTTACTTTCCTTCTCTGCAGCTCCCTTCAGCTCCCCTGTCTAACTCTTGTGGCCTGCATTCCGCGTGGAGCGTTGCCATGGTAACCTGTGGCAACGCCCTGATGGCCGTGGGACTTGCAAGATTTAGACAGTGGAGCTAAAGGGAGCTGCTGGGAATGTAAGAGCTTTCTGCAGGCCCTCCAGGTCTGCCGTCTCGGTTGTCATGGGCCTGGCGGTCATGGTCTGCATAATCGGTATCTTTTGTAGGCAAATACCGATATTGCCAAAAATTCAGAATATAGTCCGATAATATTGGCCAAACTGATAATCGGTCTATCCCTAATGGAAGCACTGGACAGCCACTAGTGGTCTGTTTAACACCCCAATGTAAACACTGCAGTTTCTATAAAAAAATAAATAAAAAAAATGTTCAAACTAAAAGACCACTGCACCAGGAATTTTGATAAGGACAGCTGTTGCAATTAACTTTTTTTTCCCTCTGAGGTCAGATCTCAATAAGCACATATACGATAATGCTCACCATAAGCCCATTTGTAAATGTCGTACAACATGTTCAGGACTGACACCGTTCATGGAGTAAATTTTTTTTTATTTTCCACAAGCCTCAGACTACGTTTCCATGTGCAGCAATAACCTGCATTTTAACATCAGCTCCAAGCAAAATCTGAGGTTAACCAAGGGCAGCTTTGAATACACTAAACCAGCGCGTGACAAATGTGCTAGGTATCTTGGAGCCAGCTAAAAAAAGTAAGGAGACAGTTTTTTTTTTTTTTTTAAATAAATATTTATTTTCAACGACAGAAATACAATTCTAAAAGGGGCACAATAGTCACCAGAACCATTACAGCTTAATGTAGTGGTTCTGGTATCTCTAGTCTGCCAATGCAAGCTTTTCAGAGAAAAGGCAGAGTTTACATTGCTGCCTGGATACACCTCTAGTGACAGTCACTCATCTGCTCACTGTAGGTGATTCCTAGTCTAGTGCTGCACAGTGTGAATCACCTACATTCAGCATCTCAATGGTCTGCATGGAAGTGCTGTACATTTCCCATAGAGATGCACCTCTATGAGGAGATGCTGATTAGTGCATGCGCAGTAGCCTCCCAATGCTTTCATATGGGAAAGCATTGACTTGGCTGAGATCATCAACATTGATTATCTCAGGCATGGAGACAGGAACAGCCGCAGCGAGACCAGCATGTGTGGGAAAAAGATGAGTAAAAACACCTTTCCCAATGCTATTGGAGGGGGGCCGGTCACCTAAACAGACGCACACTCACTGACATACACTCGCTGATCTGACACATGTATAGATACAACTTTAGTAGATCCGAAGCACTAGTACTGACATAGCACCTAAATGGGAAGGTACAGGAGTGTTCCATGAGATTCGCACATACGGAGGAAATGGCGAACACGCAGTGCGTTCCACCGAGCCGGGAAAGAAAATGACGTAAGTGGAATATGCGTTCCACCGAATCCGGATGACGGAACTTACTGGCGCGAGTATTAATTCTTCACCAACCAGGACAGGTGAACCAACGATTTTTGGATTGGCCGATTGGCGATCTAAGTGGGGACTAGATTGCGTATATATTATGTGTGTCCTAGGTTTTGTATTATGCTGCATATGTGTGCCCCTGAGGAAGTCTTGCTGGTAAAGACGAAATGCGTAGGGCCTTACAATACCAGATGCTGTACGGTCTATTATCTTAAATACGTTTGTATCTTGTTACATGTATCCCGAGGAGGTTAAAGAATCCCTGGCATCCTGTTACTCTACGGATCTTTGCTGATAGGCTTTTATACCTTTCACTTCTTGTAAGTGTAATATAATTAAAGCAGTGATTTTAATTATTTTAGCAGCACTGTGCTATAGTTTTTATTACATGTACTCCTGCCTACCAAGAGGATTTTACTGAAGAGAGGACACCTTTGCTTTATGTGCCTGTATACTCATGCATTTTTGTCACTATTTTCACTATTTAAAAGTCCGATTGCTTTATTACACTATATGGTCTTTTTAAATAATTTTCTAGATATCCTGTATGTATTTATTATTTGTCTTTATTTGCTCTGATGTACAGTAATGCAGAATGTGTTGGAGCTAAATACCAAATAATGAATGTTCTTCGACCTTTGACATAACAACAACTTGAGCACCACACAAATAGTTAATAAAATAGTGTCAACGCATGACCCAAAAACAATAAATTTATGAACCTCGACAATGTCAATTTCAGACAGAAACTCCACTTACATACGTTTCTTCATATTCACTGGGAGCATCAGGATTAAAATATTTGCCTTCTTTTTCAGACTTTATAGTAGGCTCTTTGAGTAGTGATGTTTCTTTTGCAGGATCAGACATACATGCTAATGGTGCAACGCGTTTGACATCTTCAACCATGTAATCTTCATAATTTTCTTCTTGTTTTACGTGTTTGATGGAGGTTAAATTTTGACTTTGGTCTTCATCTTCTTTTTCAGTCTTGATAAACTTTTCAAACTGTGAGGCTTCTTCTGAAGGACGAATCGTACATACCAATGGTGCAACATGATGGAAACCTTCAACCATGTAATCTTCATCATTGCTTTCTTGTTTTATATGTTTGATGGGGATAAAATTTTGACTTTGCTCTTCATCTTCGTTTTCAGATTTGATAATAAACCCTTTAAACTGTGAGGCTTCTTCTGCAGGATGAGTCGTACATACCAATGGTGCACCACGTTTGAAACCTTCAACCATGTAATCATCATTGCTTTCTATTTTTATATGTTTGATGAGGGTAAAATTTGAACTTTGATCAACACCTAATTGGTCATCGGTCTCGGTGCTCACATTTCGGGTTTCCAATTGCTCTGTGTTCATGCCACGATCCACCATAATAGTAGTTGTTGAGGTTTGGGCTTCTGAGCCATTTATTTTTGGTCTTTTTCTTCTACTGGAGAAAATACGTTCTTTAACATTAGACTGAATTTCAAGATTCAGTTCTGGAATAGCAAATTCCGTCAGGCATTTACGGCTTCCTTTCATTGTATATACTGTCTCAGGAAAATGTGTAGAACAAATTCTGTACTTGTATCCCTTTTTGTCTTCAAGAACTTTTTCGGCAAAACCGGGAAGATCTTCCAGTTTATGGCCAGTTCTCTGCAACCATTCTGTTATACGTTTAATGTTTCGTGGAAACATATGAAGAAAGGCATCCGTTTGACCTCCGGTTTTGGAAGGACAGCCTTTTATCAAACACTTCGGCATTTCAAATATTTCCTGTGTGACAAAAATAATAATAATAATAATAATAATAATGATAAAACATGAATTTTTGTTTTCATTTTTCTAATAGTATAATTAAAATTGTCTTAAGCAAAAATAACATCAAAATGAATGTCTCCTGGAAGTTAATTAAAATTATTGGATACAGAATGTAAAAAATAAATACATTTTGTAATTTTATATACAACACATGTTGAGTAATAAGACATTTATAATTGTGGAACCAATATATTTATTTTTCAACTAGGAATGTGGAGAAAAAAAATGATATAATTTCAGCTTATAAATTGAAATCTGGCAGATACAGCATGTGATCTTTTCAATGACATGACAAAGGACCTATCAATAGAATGTCCACAAGGAGAGAACATATACAAATGCATTATGGACTTTCTGTCTGATTATGTCTGCTAACATTTGTTAATAACAATGCATGAGTCTATATTTTTGTAAGTATAAAAGATGTAGGATGATTTTGAAAAGTTAGTAGAGTGAATTTGTATATTTATAGATCAATGCTGTCTTAGTGTAGGCAGTTGTAAGAAGCAATGTTGTAGAGGTCGTACGTACTAGTCACAGTTCGTAGACAGATAAGTATCAATTAGTCTTTTAAAGAGAAAAAGAATGATGTTATAGCATGTTAAAGGAAAACACACACTGCAGTCTTTTCACAATACTGCCCCATAATATTTATGCCCTTTTTTTTTCTTTCTGTATCCCCTTGCTTTTTGTTACTCTTCCTTACTGGAAATAATTTGGAAAATAAAGAAAAAATGTAAATTGCAAAAAAAAATATTTATGCCGGTGAATGGAAATATTATCCACTATAGAAATAGCAAGAAGTAATTGCAGCCACTGTGAAATATAGTAGGCCTGAGTGTATAGCATTGAACCAATTTAACTGGTTACTCCAAACATTAGAACCACTGCAAACACCTATGTTGAATAGAACAGTAGTACCCTGTTTTATGGTAATATGGAAAAACATTCTGCAATTGTTTAGAAAAAAAAAAAATAATAATATATATATATATATATATATAGATTAAATAAGCACATAAAACAAATGTGTAGGTGTGATCCCTTGATAAAATTAGACAATCCAGCAGGGGTGAGGCCAGTGGTCTATACATTTGGATTATGGACATCATATTTGTGAAAATATATATCGACATACATTTAAAAGAGAACTCCAAACACCGTGACCACTCCAGTAATTTGAAGTGGTCATGGTGCCTAGAGTCTTTATGTGCAGCATTTGAATCACGGCACCTTAGGAGTTGCTGGAGGTCTAACTGGAGTGTCACCGGCCAGCCTGGAACTAGAATCAATTCTGTGCAATTATTTTTTTTGCATAGAATTACTTTCATTGACCAACAATGGTCAGCTTAGACAGTAAAAATGCTTGATGACGTGTTACAAATTTCCAGTGGCTTATCTGTATGGACAATTCAGCATCAGGCAATAAGGTGGAAACATACATGGTGAGAAAAGACAATCGGATTGTTTATATAGAAGTCATTAATATTTTACATTCGTTGTATTTGTAGTCCTCTTGTGTCTTGGTGTGGTGGTCGGTTGTATTGTTTCCATTATTGGGGGTCAAAGCATTTCTAAAAATGTTTTTCTTTAATTTTACACATATACATACATAAAAAGACATTTATATAAATGCCAAATGCATTATATGTGAATGGCAGGTGTCTTGCAAACTCCAGTAATCAAAAGAGGCAAATGTATTTTGGACAATGGGAAAATATAGGAAGATAAAAAAAAAATTAAATTTGTTTTTTTTTTAAAGCACAAAATTAACCAGAGTGACAGATATGTATCCAAATGCATTGATAAACATGAATACATTACATATTTTCAAGACAACTCTGGAAATGGAATGCTTAAAAGGACAATTCATTAAAAACCCATTTAACACTTACTTATAACTTGTCCAAATAATTATATTGGAGATAGGAACAATGCATTGAGCAGGACTACACTATATGTCTACTTCCTTTCTTCTTTTATACTAAGCGCGCAATACACGCTTACTACTGGCAACACCAGCCCGCTGCCAGCAGTTAAAATGGACGCCGGGAGACGATGCGCTCTTTACGCATGCGCAGTTGCCAGAATTGAAGCCAAGCAAGAGGTCAGCCTGTGGGCGTGATCTCTGGCTATCAAGCATCGGCATACAGCCTATGCCGATCATCTGAACGGGCTGGGGGGGGAGGGGTTTATGGAAATCTATACATTGGCTAGCAATATCTGTAGCTCAATGTATGGATAGTATGGGGGGAGACTATGTACATGTCCCCATAGGTCACAATTCAGTCACTTACCCTGACAGCCGGTATGTACACAGTATCCTATTGCCCCTCAGTCATGCCAAGTAGAGGGGAGCAAGGGATTCTGGGAATAGAACGTTGCTGCCCAGCCTGCATTCACACAGCTCCTTCCCGCGGAAAGCCACGCCCAGGACGCCTTGTCGCCGTAAGCCCCGCCCACTCTGCCCCTGATTGGTGGCAAAACGCAGCTCGCTTGCTATTGGTCGGCTCGCTGTCAGGTTTCTGGGAAGCGGAAGGGATGCTCAGGGAAACATGGCCGCTGCAGTGCTGCTCTGTCTGCTGCTGTCAGCCGCCTGGACAGTGAGCTCGGAGGAGCAGGGTGAGGGGAACACGTTCCGGGAAGAGCTGCTCCTCACCCCGCTGCGATCCGGAGACATTGCAGCGACCTTTCAATTCCGGACCCGCCTGGACTCAGACCTGCGGCAGGAGAGAGGTGAGTGGGCACTCCGGGGAGTGAGTGAGGTAGAGGGCACAGTGACTGGCAGGAGAGGGGTGAGTGGGCACTCTGGGGAGTGAGTGAGGTAGAGGGCACAGAGACTGGCAGGAGAGGGGTGAGTGGGCACTCTGGGGAGTGAGTGAGGTAGAGGGCACAGTGACTGGCAGGAGAGGGGTGAGTGGGCACTCTGGGGAGTGAGTGAGGTAGAGGGCACAGTGACTGGCAGGAGAGGGGTGAGTGGGCACTCTGGGGAGTGAGTGAGGTAGAGGGCACAGTGACTGGCAGGAGAGGGGTGAGTGGGCACTCTGGTGAGTGAGGTAGAGGGCACAGTGACTGGGCATTAGTGACTGGCAGGAGAGAGGTGTGTGGGCACTCCGGGGAGTGAGTGAGGTAGAGGGCACAGTGACTGGGCATTAGTGACTGGCAGGAGAGAGGTGAGTGGGCACTCTGGGGAGTGAGGTAGAGGGCACAGTGACTGGGCATTAGTGACTGGCAGGAGAGAGGTGGGTGGGCACGCTGGGGAGTGAGTGAGGTAGAGGGCACAGTGACTGGGCATTAGTGACTGGCAGGAGAGAGGTGAGTGGGCACTCTGGGGAGTGGGTGAGGTAGAGGGCACAGAGACTGGCAGGAGAGAGGTGAGTGGGCACTCCGGTGAGTGAGGTAGAGGGCACAGTGACTGGGCATTAGTGACTGTCAGGGGAGTGGGCACTCCGGTGAGTGAGGTAGAGGGCACAGTGACTGGGCATTAGTGGCAGGCATGAGAGAGGTGAGTGGGCACTCCAGGGAGTGGGTGAGGTAGAGGACACAGAGACTCGCCATTAGGGGCAGGCAGGAGAGAGGTGAGTGGGCACTCTGGGGAGTGGGTGAGGTAGAGGGCACAGTAACTGGGCATTAGTGGCAGGCAGGAGAGTGATGAATGGGCATTCTGGGGAGTGAGTTAGGAAGAGGTCGCAGTGATTTCGCATTAGTGGCAGGCAGGAAAGATGTGAGTGGCCAGTCAGGTTAGCTGGTCCTTTATATGTCACAGTGATTTGCCAGGATAGTGGGCTTTTGAAGTTACTTGTCACTTGTTGAAAGCCAGGACTATGGAAGTCGCAGTCGCTTGCCCTCAGTAGAGAGGGTCAGGAGCTTGAACAGAAGTCACTTCTGTAGAAGAGACTTGACATTAGTAGAAGGAAAAGAGAGTGGGCTATAGAAGTTTAAAGTGGCTTGCCCTCAGTAGAAGGCCAGTAGAGTGGGCTATAGACATACAGCGGCTTGCCCTCAGTAGAAGGCCAGTAGAGTGGGCTATAGATGTTACAGTGGCTTGCCCTCAGTAGAGTGGGCTATAGATGTTACAGTGGCTTGCCCTCAGTAGAGTGGGCTATAGATGTTACAGTGGCTTGCCCTCAGTAGAGTGGGCTATAGACGTTACAGTGGCTTGCCCTCAGTAGAGTGGGCTATAGATGTTATAGTGGCTTGCCCTCAGTAGAAGGCCAGTAGAGTGGGCTATAGACGTTACAGTGGCTTGCCTTCAGTAGAAGGCCAGTAGAGTGGACTATAGACGTTACAGTGGCTTGCCCTCAGTAGAAGGCCAGTAGAGTGGGCTATAGACGTTACAGTGGCTTGCCTTCAGTAGAAGACCAGTAGAGTGGGCTATAGACGTTACAGTGGCTTGCCCTCAGTAGAAGGCCAGTAGAGTGGGCTATAGAAGACAGACACAGTGGCTTAGCCTCAGTAGAATGCCAGGAGAGTGGGATATAGAAGTCACAGTGGCTTATCCTCAGTCGAAGGCCAGGAGAGTGGGATATAGAAGTCACAGTGGCTTATCCTCAATAGAAGGCCAGTGTGACAAAACCCCTAGTTTTATGAATACTCAGCTTGTTTTACCTTTCACCTGCTGTTTGTGTAGTTAGCCCATTTCGTACTATATCTAAAAACCGAACAAAACTACCGAACAGCCAGGCCACCCAACTTGGAAGTGTGCTGCTAATTTACCCCCCAGAACTGCGGTTAACCACAAACATTTGTCTAACGATTGGGTGGTCGCGGTTCGTTTTACCGAACACGTGGCAACATCCATTTTAAGTTGTCGAACACCCAGCGATGTTTGGTCGTCGACAGCGTGGAACTCTTTTCGACCACAATTTCTCACGAACACCGCTGGGACCATCTCACTTCCATCCCTTTTGTTTCTAATTATGCGAACGCCGTGTCGTTCGGCGGATTACATCCACGAAAGAGACCGACCCCAGATAGCTAAACCCATAGAACTATTGCTGGACATATTTTATGCGAACAGTCGGTGACTTGAACTCTTTATCTCCATGGCGATTTAGCTCTGTTCGTGGGATCTGAGCGCTGTTCTCCTATATTAAGCGCTCAGACCCAAGCTATCTGGGGATATGTCGAACAAGGGGATTCCTTTCGGAAATATTAAAGTTATGTTTTTGAATACAGTTTTTTATGCTTGTTAAAAAAATTGAAATATTCTCTCTGCCTGGAGATAATTAAGTTTACTCAGGACACTTAAGTCAATTATATCCAGGATAGAGAGGAGGGATTTTCATGTTCATGGGGAGTGTGTTAAATGTCACTGTACACTGATTGGTCACTGTTATTTTTGTTACAGTCTTCCACAAGGTCCCATGTGGGAGTATCCTTGCTGGAAGACCTGCATAAAAGGCCGAACTGTGGTCAGGATTAAACAGATTCGTTTTACCCCTTCATGAAGTCTTGGCTCATGCTTGGGGGATTGGGAGCTATATATCACTACACCTTCGCTATTAGTTTGTATTCGGGAGACGCTGCAGGGATTTACTCAGCTGGAGTGTAGAAATCCATAACAGCCAGGAGAGTGGGATATAGATGTCACAGTTGTTTGCCCTCAGTAGAAGGCCAGGAAAATGAACTATAGAAGTCACAGTTACTTGTCAGAAGAGTGGGTTATAGAAGTCACAATGGCTTGACATCAAGAGAGTGGGTTGTAGAAGTCACAGTGACTTGACATCAGTAGAAGGCCAGGGTAGTGGGCGATGGAAAGTCACAGTGGCTTGTCCTTAGTAGAAGGTCAGTTGAGTGATCTAAAGAAGTCACAGTGGCTTGCCATTATTAGAAGGCTAGTAGAGTAGGCAATAGACGTCACATTGATTTGCCATCAGGAGAAGGCTATTGGAGTGGGCTATGAACAGCCGGCAGGAGAGAGTGCTTTATGTAGGTCTCAATTGCCTTTAGTAGAGTGGTGGATAGGCTATATAGATGTCACAGTGACATGGCATTAGTGGCAGAGAGGAGTGGGTGGGTACTCAGAAAAGCGGGGTCTACATAGGCCATAGTGATTTGTCATTAGTATTAGGCTGGAGAGAGATGAGTGGGCTATAAGAGGTTACAAGTGGCTTGTCATTAGTAACAGACGTTCCTTCTGTTAGGTATTGTCCTATCCTAAAAATAGTTTGTAGACCGGTTACTATAATGCGGTTTATGAATTTTGTTATAATGCAATTTGTATGTTTATGTGTGTCATTTTAAAAAAAATTGTTATAGGTTTTTTTTTTTTTGTTGTTTTTTTTTTTTACATGGTCATAAAAAGCAGTTTGTGTGTTAATTCATAGTGCCATTGCTAAGAAGCTTGATTCGTAAAACAATACAATTCCTCTTATTCATTTTTATGAAGGGCGGAGTGATCTATAACTGACTAGCTCTGTATATTTTTGACATGAATATTGGTTGTGTGGCAATTCTTCATCTGAATTATTGATTGATACAATAGCCTTTTTTTGTGATGAGGCAGCTTTAGTTATATTCGCATTTCTTTGTGGTTCCTTCCTGTTATTCAGAATAAATCAATGCAATTTAACTAGTTAGTGTGCAGCAAATCGGTGATGCATGTGCTGTGGATTCAAAAGGATGGTGTGTTATCAGGACACTGTCACTTATGAGTACTTTTAATATGCCTATTTATCTTCTATATATGGCAAATATGTGTTTGTGCATTCTGAAATATAAAATTATAACAAGTAACAGTTTGACTCACATTTTATTAAAACCTTCCTGGTATAACACATCTCAGGAGGGATCTTGGTGATCCTACAGCATTTGGTATCTCGTTTGTTGCAAGGTAGTTCTAGCTTTGCGAGGAACTCATCCTAGTATTGATATAATCAGGCTCGGTATAGCGATAGTAAGATAAAGTTCTTCAGTGAAAACTAAGTTCCCAAGGAAGAGCTGAAGGACTTTTGAGATTGACTTGAATTGTTTTTAAATGTTATTTCAAAATTTAATTTTAGTTTTAAAATTTACTATTTGGTCCTGTGACTTCCTGCATCAGTTGAGGTCATGGGTCACGGAGGGTTGAAGTCTCCCTTTAGAGACACATGTGTTTGCACCTAGAGCAAAGTTTTGGAAGGCTCTTTTTAAGGTAAGCAGTTTTCAGTCTCCTGGTTTACTTTGCTACTAGGTTCCTCTATTTTTGTTCTTCCTTTGGAGTTTTTCCGGTTGGAGGATTTGAAGACTGATAGTGTCACCAAAGTCCACATACCTGAGCGTATCCCTGCTATTCTGTGTGAGCGTAGCCTTTTTGTTTTGCCGCACTCTTTATTATTGACGGACTACACCAGTGGTTCCCAAACTTTTTAGGTTTAAGGCGCCCTTAATATTTCAATATTTTTCCAAGGCACCCCAAGTCAAAATTTCTAGGTTGTATATCTGTATAGCGCTGCTGCATTTACTGGGCTATAGTGTAATGTACAGTTTTGGTGTTTGAAGAGGTGCTTGTATATAGTTTTAGTGTTTTAATACAGGGATGTGTTTGAATGTTATGTTCACTTTTAAATGCGGGTGTACATTTGAGTGAAGGAGTGTGTTTGTATATCCTTTTGGAGTTTGAATGCAGGGGTGTATTTGTATGTTGTGCTGATGTATGCACATACACTACCGTATATATACTTACACACATTCATATTGACACATACACGACATATACACTCAGGCACCCTGACACACACACAAACATTGATATATGCACACACCATGATACAGACACACACACCATGATACAGACACACACACACACACACACACACAATGATACACAGATGCACATACACAGATGTGTGTGCGCACACAGACACAGTAGCACACCCTGATACACAGATGCACAACCTGACACACACACACACACACGTCATATTTTTAATATCTCCAGCCACCCTCCTGTTAGCTTACCTTATGTGTCCAGGAGGGTGGTCTGGAGTAGCTCCTGCAGCGCTCCTTTTCCCTGATGCTGCAGCTGACTCCTCTCCCTCCCGCGCTGTCTTCCTGCATGACGCTAATTATAGCACCAGGAGAAACACTCCGCGGCACCAATGTGTGCACGGCACTCAATTTGGGAACCGCTGTGCTATACTATTTTGATTACTTGTTTTTATTTTGAGCACCTAGCACTATAAACCCCCATCATTTTATAGGAGTAAGTTTATTCAATCAGCACTCCATGACATCACTGCTATGGGCCCTTGGATAGCCACACAGTTGCTGTGTTTTTTGTTCATGTTAGTGTGTAGAGTTGGGGAGGAACCTACACAAGTATTATGGCAACTTTTGTACATTTTAGGCATATATATTATTTATGACAGATTACCTGTTTAAAAGTAATGGATTTTATGATTAAAGGGACACTGTAGGGACTCAGACAACTTCAGCTCATTGAAGTGGTCTGGGTACAGTATCCCAGGTGCCTTAACCCTCCAGTGGTAATTATTGTAGTTTTAATAAACTGTACTGATTACCTGTCAGGGTTAACTCCACCTCTTTTTTTTTTTTTCAATGTGTTTTTTATTTTCACTTTTTTAAATTGTTCGCAAAGGAACAAAATATACAAAACAAAGATGGGGATACAGAAGGAAAGAGGGGAAGGGGGAGACAGCTTACATAGCTTACATCAATCTTTACAAATGCATTGGTACATACTGTGTTAACAAGTTAATATAGAAGAGACAGTTGACAATTTGTCCATTGTGTTACAAAGCATTGATAGTTAAACAGGAATACATCTTGGTGAAATATATTGTGCTCGATTTCTTAACGTAGGAGGCAGGGGGAAGCCCTGGGGATGTAATGTAATGTGTGGCCTACAGCCCCTATTGGGGCACTCCATATCTATAGTCAACCCATCTCTGCCACCGTGTCTGCTTTGACTATCGTTGAGTCGGCTAGCCATACATTCATATGCGTGAGTCGAATCTATCCTGCCTAGGATCTCTGGCAGTGTTGGTGTCAGTGAGGACTTCCATCTGTGCGCAATAGAAGTTTTGGTGGCCATTAAACAGTGAATCGTTAGGTAACTCTTATCTTCAGGGAGGGTGTCTGGGAAGATATGTAATAGAAAGCATTCTGGGATCAGAGGTACCTTTACTCCCAGATTTTTATGAACAAGTGTTTGTATATCCCGCCATAGCGTGGTGATTTGTGTGCATGTCCAGAATATATGATAGAAGGACCCCTCGTGATTGTGACATCTCCAGCAGTGTTTGTCTGACCCTGGGTAAATGTGAGCCAGTTTGGTGGGGACTAGGTACCAGCGCATCGTTAATTTACAAAATGTTTCCCATTGGTTAAGACTGTGGGAGGCCTGTTTTGTTTTCTTTTGAGCGTGATGCCATGTTGCTATTGGGAATTGCCTTCCTATCTCTGATTCCCATTTAGTCATATACGATGGTTTTGTTATTTTATTCTGAAGTAGGAGTGTGTTGTAGCATAAGGACAATGCTTTAATTTTTGGTAGTTTACCCATGCATTTGTGGATAAATGGTGGTAAGAGATTGGGTTCCCTCAGGCTAATCCTGCACTCCTGTATTATATTTCTTATTCTAAGATAAGAGAATAATTGTCGTGGAGGGATATGGTATTCCCTGATTAAGTCTGGGAAAGGTTTGATGCCTTCTGGGGTCAGTAAGGAGCGTACCTGATGGATCCCTTGTTTGAGCCAGTTATCTAGTTGCATGTCTGACGTTCGCGCCGCCAGGGCCTGAAGTGGAGCTGCAAGGAGCAGGTCATTTTCTTGTAGGAATAGTGGGGTAGTTTGCGTCCAAGTTTGGAGCAGCGAGTCCGTGGGAGGTAGCAAGGTTTTGGATTTGGGGAGTTTTGTACCTGCCCAAAGGATCAGCGGAATCGAGCCAGTGGGTAGGCAAGCGTTCTGCAACGCTAGCCATACCGGAGGAGATGACCGTTCAAGGATTGTGAGGCCTTGTGCCAGCAATGACGCTTTGTAATATAGTTTTATGTTAGGTATGCCCTCCTTTTGTGAACGGAAGCCAGAGTGAATTTTGCGCTATTCTTGGGGGTTTCAGTTTCCAGATGTGTGCATTGATTATAGCCTGAAAGTTCTTTAGAATTGGGTTTGGGATTGTGCGGAATAAGTATAAGATATGCGGTAAAATCATCATTTTTATGGTGTGGACTCGCCCCAGCCAGGAAATCTCTTTATCCTCCCAGGTCTTAAGTTATTGTTGTTCTACTCTGTGAATGAGCGGTATATGGATTTCCCGTATTATCGCCGAGTGCCTTGCTGGCAATTTTATGCCCAGATGGGAGATGGAGGTATTCCGCCACTCGAATGGGTACAGTGTTTTCAGGAGTGTTAGAGAGGTATGTGGCAGCCGTATCGCCAGCGCTTGTGTTTTTTGGCATTGTTTTTATAGTAAGACATCTTTCCGTAATTCCCTAATAGAGCTAGCAAATTTGGTAAAGATTTCTCCGGGTGTGTTAAGAACAGGAGAACATCATCCGCGAAGAGGGCTATTTTTTGAACTCCTATTGGTGTAGCTAGGCCTCCAATATTTTTGTTATTTTTTATGTGTCTATTTAGGGGTTCCATACATAAGATAAAGATTAATGGGGAGAGGGGACAGCCTTGCCTGGAACAGTTTGTTATTTGAAAGGGTTGTGATAGAAACCCAGAGTTAAATATTCTGGCAGCCGGTTTGGAGTATAGGGCCATTATGCCTTTCAGGAATTCTGAGGGGATGCCCATGGATGTCAAAACAGCCCTCATGTATGCCCAGTTTAAGCGATCGAATGCTTTTTCGGCGTCTAGGGCTAACAGTACGCCTCTTTGGTTAGTTTTCTGAGCCCATGTGATTAGGTTCAAAAAGTGGCGCGTATTATCCCCCGGCTGCTTGTTCGGGACAAAACCTTCCTGTTCTGGGGAGACCAAATCTTGTAGGAAGGGTTGGAGGCAAGTAGCTAGTAATTTGGCGTAAAGTTTTGTGTCTGCATTCAGCAGTGAGATGGGCCTCAGGTTAGCGCATTCAGTGGGAGGTTTGCCAGACTTAGGAAGCATAACAATATGGGCTAGCAGCATCTCCTCTGGCATGGATTCTGAGTCCTTAAAGAAGTTAAAAAGGTCTGTGAGGTGTGGTGTGAGCTGTGCCTCGAATGTGGAATAAAAATGGTTAGAGAACCCTTCCGGGCCCGGGGCTTTATGTTTGGGTAATTTGTGTATTGCGTTTCGTACTTCTTCTTCTGTGAATTTAGCTGACAGGATCGAACTTTGTTGGGCGGTCAGGCGTGGCAGTGTCACCTCTTTCAAAAAGATGTCTATTTCCGACTCTAGTGGCTGGTGAAGTGTTTTGTCCTGTGTAAGATTGTATAGACCAGTGTAGAAATTCGCCAATTCGTTCACTATGTCTTGTGGGTTAAATAGTTTGGACCCTGTGGCTGATGTCATAAATGGGAGTTTGGATTGTATGTATCGGGATTTTAGATGTTTTGCGAGCAATTTGCCTGCCTTGTTCCCTTGCATGTAGTAGGAGAGTTTCAGCTTGCGAAGCTGCCTTTCCATATTTATCAGGGACAATGCATGTAGCCTTTCTCTTATCTTTTCAATTTGTTGGGATAAGGTTTTAGTTTGTTGTCTCTGTCTAATGTTTTGAGTTGTGAGAGCAGTTTATCTGATTCAGTGTAAGTCTTCCGCTTATTTATCGCTCCTGCTTGGATTATAAGGCCTCTTAGTACGGCTTTGAGGGCCAGCCATTTAGTGTCTATGCGGGAGGGGTCCGCTTGGTGGATCTCAAAGAACGATGTTATGTTTGCGTGAATTTTGGTGGCTGTGTTTGCGTTATCTATGAGAGATTCGTTCAGGCGCCAAGCCCTGCGCCCTCGGGCTGGGTACAGAGCTCTGAACGTAGTGATTACCGGCGCGTGGTCAGACCAGGTCCTGTCATCTATTTGCACTTCTATAACATTGGGTAACGTGATCTTCTCTACCCAGCACATGTCTATGCGGGAGTAAGTGTGCTGTACCCGTGAGAAATAGGTGTAGTTTTTCTCCTTCGGGTAGAGAGTGCGCCATGAGTCATAGAAATCATACGTGTGAAGCAGTGTGCTAAGGGTAGCGCTCATAGTGCTGGATTGTTGTAGAGGGTGTTTACTCTCGATGCGCTTGATGTCTAGCTCGGGGTCTAATGTGCAATTTAGGTCTCCACAGATTATAGTGTGTCCCACACGGAGGCTAGTAATCTTATTTAACGCCCTCTTAATTAAGGATGTTTGGGAATTGTTAGGTGCCTATATGGATGCAATCGTGAGTTGCATTCCGTTTAGTGAGCCCACCACAACAAGGAGCCTGCCTTGCTCGTCTGCGTATGTTTTGTCGGGGTGGAAAACCCAGTCTGCATGAAACAGTATTGCTACCCCTTTTGTTTTGTTTGGTGAAAGGGCATGGAACACCTGTTGGTATCTAGAGGAGATTAGATTGGGAGGATTTCTCTTACACATGTGTGTCTCTTGGAGACAAACTATGGCTGCCTGACATTTGTGCATAGCTTTAATCACAGAGCTTCTTTTGAATGGGCTGTTCAGGCCATTTACGTTCATGGATAAGCATTTAAATTGGTACGTCATTTTTAGTGAGCCGGTTTCGGAGCCTGTCATCTAATATAGAACACTTTACATTAGCGTGTATGGACCTTATGATAAGCTGAGGAGCGGCGTGTAGCTAGGTGTGCCCTGGTGCCTGGCGATATCTTGTATGATTATAAGTCGTTGCAGCTGCTGGGTTGTTGGGAAGGGGGATAACAGGGATAAAATAAGGGGTACAAAAGTAAACAAAAACAAGTATATACAGTATCTCTCTATCTTGAGAGTATAGCATGGGATACAGAGGGGAGCCTTTGGGCTCCATGTTCCTTATAGTTCCCTGTGGGGGGTCGTGCGTAACAGGACCGCACCCGGGCCAGATTCTATTAGTAGGCAATTCTGGTATGGGAGATGACATGGGTAATTATGTACACAGACAGCAGTCCCGGAGGTCTGTGGAATGTGTTGGGAGTTTAGCTGTGGTAAGATGGCTATCGGTGTCGATTGTACCCACATTAGTAACAGAACATTTTATCTTAGTGCTGGGACGGCAACCATCCCCCACTGGCATTTGCATTATATGAATGTATGAAATACAGTACCCCACCGGTTACTTTTTGGTAGGCAAATGCGAAGTATCTCCGGTTAGAGCGAAGTATATAACACATCAATTTGGGGACCAACGTCAGTGCACACCGGGTCTGAAAATGGCAGCATAGGGGGAGCGTGGGCATCTAAGAGCGGCGACCAAGGGGTGGGAGAGGCAGGGACATATATGCTTAGGATGTGTAAGGGTTTTTTTTTTTGTTTGTTTTTTTTTTTTTTTATAACCCCTTTCAGTCCCCTCCCCCTGCTAAATTATTGCACTGACGAGGGTTCCCGATACTATACCACTCTTGACGGCTGGGGTCGATGACCATCGTCACTGCGTTGGCATGTGGGCCTAGGTCGGAGTGTAAAGCCTTCGGGTACCAGTCCATGGGCGAGTAGCTAATGTCCTGAATGAGTGCAACTACAGTCAGTTAAGGTGTCTTCGTGTGACGTTGTGGAACTTGCTGTTGGGTGGATCCAGGGGGATGCTGTCTTTGTCAGTGTCTTTCTTAGTGTTGCAAGCCAACCATCTGCCATTCGGGCCAGATCTTCTTCGGGGTGGCCGCAGAGTCCGGTTGTGACTGAGCTTTTTCAGGTGCGCCCCATAGGCCCCAGTGCTTCAGTGTAGACAAGACCTCCTATTGGGTCGTCAATAATGTGGAGCTTGTTGTTCCTCCATATCATTAATTTCGTGGGGAACCCCCAACGATAGGCTTTATCATGGTTGCATAGGGTCTTGGTGATAGAGGAGAATTCCTTCCGTCTCGCCATTGTAAGGGCCAAGAGGTCAGCGTATATAGAGACGGTGCTGTATGGGTCGGGCAACGGTGACTTAGCCCTAGCTGCTTTGAGAAGTGCTTCGTTGGCTTTAAAGTAATGGAAGCGAACAATAATGTCGCGTGGGACTTCCGCTCCGAACCTGGATGGTTTAGGTACGCGGTGGGCCCTGTCCAGTTCCCAAGTGATATCGGATAGATCAGGGGCCAGTGTGGCGCTTAAAGCTGTTATAAATGTGGGGATCTGGTCTGTTGTGACGGACTCCGCTACCCCCCGAAATCTTATGTTGTTTCGGCGGGAACGGTCCTCCATGTCGGCCCTCTTGAGCCACAATTTGGTGTTGTCTTCTTCCAATTTCTGTAGCTTGTCAGCCAGTAGGTTATGTGCCGAGCAGAGGTCTTCTGTTTTACGTTCGACCTGGCCTGTGCGGTTGCCTAACTCCTCCAATTCCAAAATGGCGGTAGTAAAATCCTCTTTAATTGTAACTCTGACGTCCATGAGCATTTGTATTAAGTAATCTTTCGATATTTGGCTGTCATCCGCCGTTAATTGTGAGGGCGTCTCATTATAGGTATCAGGTTCCGTAGACTGAGCTCTGCTGGTGGCGCCATCTTGGGCCTGTTTCTGCCGCTCTTTTTTGTGGTGTCGGACCGCGTCCGTTAGTTTTGTTTGCTTCGAGGGTGACATAGGGTCACTCTTGAACTTCACCTCCCGCTTGATTTTAGGTTCTTTTGATTATTTGATAGATAATCTGGCCCGGGTGGTGCGGAGCTCCTACTCCATGCGACCGATCTTGCCGGAAGTTGGACACGCCCCGCACCCCCCCCAGGGTTAACTCCACCTCTAGTGGCTGTCTACCAGACAGCTGCTAAAAGGACTTACAGGTCATTAGGCGACTTTTGGTCACCTAACCAATGCTGGATGTGCTCACGCTATGAATGAAGACATCCAGCGTCACCCAAAACCCAATAGGAAAGCTTTATACAATGCTTTACTATGTGGGGAAGTCCTAATGCGAGTGCAACAATAATGCGCATTAGGTCCCCCTGCCAACGAGGAGTGGAGACAGTCTGAACCAGCACCTCTGTGACATCGCCACTGGAATCAGGTAAGTGACAGAAGGGACACTGCTAGGAGGGGGGGACTATAGGGAGCTAGAGTGCCAGGAAAACAATCTTGTTTTCCTTGCACTGTACCTTTCCTTTTAAGAATGGAATTCTTAGACAGGAGTTTAATAAGAAATTACCCACCAGTGATATCGAAAGTAATTTCTGTAAGAGATGTGTCACTTTTTTTTTCTTTTCATGTCCATTCATATGTATGAAAATCTTGTTAACCCTTTTTTTCCTGTTATCAGTCTCTCACTATAGGCTATTTCCAAAGGTGCTGGGGCAGGTTATCTCTAAATACTCCGTACAAGAATTGCACCTATCCTTTACTCAGGGCTTTTGGCGGACCAGATCCTGGGGGCAACCACTCTTGCAAGCGCCAGCTGGGGCCGAACTTTGGGTCTGGTTTCAGGACTCTGTTACAGAGTGAGTACTGTTTTGTTTAGTTTTTTGTTTTAGGAACCTGCAATTATTATTTTTGTGTTTTGTAAACTACATAAAAAGCATTATTTAATGACTGGTTAAAGGGTTACACCAACCAATAAACAGTGTTTTAAGAAAACACTGTTTTTGGATAGAGTAAACATTCCTTTCCTGTCCAGTCCCCAGCCCCAAATTTTATATATATATATATATATATATATATATATATATATATATATATATATATATATATATATATATATATATATATATATATATATAACATGAGTGGCACAGGCAGGGGACCGTGCCACCATTGGACGGTTGTCACTAGCATACTGTGCGTGCTGGTCTTAGACATCCAAGTGTTTCCTAGGGAAATGCTGCATATACAGACTCTAGGCACCATGTCCACTTCAGATCGCTGAAGTGGTCATTGTACCTGGTGTAACCCTCTAAAGTGACTTTTCCAGTTTGTTCCATATGTGTAAAACACAAGCTACGTATCCATCTATTTCCATTTTCAGTACGACATTCTATACTCCTAGCAATTTGAACTTACATTGTACAAAAGCTACACTCTAATTAAAAGGAAAAGGTTTTGTTGTTTAGGATACGGTTTCCAGAAACTGCATTTTCTGAGTGAAAGGGGCAGTATCCGTGCACCAAATCAGGTATAATGGTTTTGGTGCCTAAAGAGGCCATTAGTTCTTTACCACAGTCTGCTGGACGGCTTTTCTTTGCATCTGTGTCTTTATGTAAAGTATCTCTAGATTTAACACTTAAATGTCCCACTGAAATGTAAACACTGAATTTTAGAAAATTAAATATGAATGGCAAATTTTAAATGGACACTCCGAAACCATAACCACTTAATCACCCCAAAATCAGGACTGTTGATGAGCATGCTATAGTGTAAGCAGCTCCGTCTTCAATCATTCATTTCCTTATTCGCACAACAGGTCTTATATTACAGATGGACACTGTGCATTTTCTCGTAATACACTAGTAAAGGCTGCCAATTCCAGTCTGGTATGCTCACTTTACTTCATTTTTCAATTCTATTGTTTGTCTTTCCCCTGAAATTTTCTGCTGATGCTTATTAATCATTAAACCAGCACTTTCAATGTCAAGGCTCCTATAAGCAACACTCCTCAATTATATATTTATAACACAACTTGGTAAGTCCCTGTTCTGACACATGGTTTACATGGCAGGACCATTGTTGAATGCAATTTTGACAAACGTCACTTTTGTGTGACTCCTTAGCCTCTGTCTCTACAAGTGCAGTTTGGCATAAAGATAATTCCATGTCTGCAATGTATGATTCTACTTGAATAAAAAAAAAAAAAAAATAAGCCTTTTAAATACATTTTACAAACACCTTTTATGTATCCCTTAGAGTTTGTTTTTCTTTCTTTCTTTCTTTACATTTTTATATATATTTATCTGGTTTTTTTAGTAATAACTTTATACATATGTTCCCTATCATCTTACTTCTTTATATCTCTGCAACTGCATGACTACTATTTTTAATACGTGGACAATATAATAGATCAGCTTGAATTGATGGGTCAAAGGGTGTATTCATAAGTTTAATAATTCATTTTGTCATTTCTTAGTGTTGATAAAACCTGGAAGGAACTAAGTAACATTCTCTCAGGAATATTTTGTGCATCTCTGAATTTCATTGACTCCACCAATACAGTTACTCCAACTGCGTCATTCAAGCCCCTGGGGCTTGTCAATGGTAAGTAAAACATACATGCTGATGAGTTTGCTAAATAAGTAGCTGACTGTCAGAATTCTTCTTTTTAATGCATAACCTCCTCAATAAAAGTAGTCCAACAAATGCAATTAAAATGTTTTGGAATAGTGTCTTAGATGTGCAGTGCTGGGGCTGTAAATTCTCTCGCCTTCAGTCCTTGTAGGAAAGGTGGAATTCTCAAAATAGTTTGATAAAGTGTTATGATTCATTCAGGTTAGCATTATGCCATTTTCATTTAATATTGTTAGAGTTATTTACTAATGTGAGAATTCAAAGTGAAATTTTAAAGAGAAACTAAAGTGCCAGGAAAACAAAAAAAACCTTCTGTCACTTACCTGTTTCCAGCGCTGTTGTCACTCGACGCTGGTTCAGGCTCTGCCTCCGTTCTTCCTCCCCAACATCAGCCGGTGGGGAGGACCTAATGCTCATGTGTGTTCTCACATTAGGACTTCCCCCATAGGTAAGCATTGTATAATTTACATGACGCTGGATGCCCTCATGCTTTTTATCTCCTACTCTAAATTGAACTTTAATCACACACAGGAGACTCTTGCAGGCTGTAGTATATTATTAGCAGATGAGAAATTCTAAATTAAACAGTGTGCAATAAAGGAGCATTAAACATTTAGATGTCTCTTATATGAAGTGTTTGGGAAGGTTGTGCAAGTCACATGCTGGGAGGTGTGAGTAAGGCTGTATGAACAAAGGGATTTATCTCCTAAATGGCAGAGAATTAGGCAGTAAGACTGCAGGAGTATAATCTGTACAGCAAAACTGCTTCATTAAGCTAAAGTTGTTTTGGTGACTTTAGTGTCCCTTTTAAGGCCAGAGTAGCCAAATTGGCCTCAAAGCATAAAAGCAAGTGCAAATGTGCATCATGCTGGATAAATTTAGTTCTGCATTTTCATAAAACCTGATGCTTTGTGACTTTTACTTTGTATAGGACTCGAATGCAAAAGCACTGATTTTAATCCAGACTTTGAACACATCCAGGTGATTGCTGCAGATTCGCTTGGGCCACCCGAATTTTGACTGTATTTGGATTTCAGAAATATTAGAATTGCCATTGCAGTCTGAATTCTGCAATTTTCACCAGATTTTGTCCATCTGGACAAAGTATGGTGTTTAGTGAATAACGTCGAAAATGTTGGGGTCTTATAAAAAGTCTGTGGTTCTCAAGAGTGGTATGCAGGCGAGATATATGTATTGCAGAAAATGTAACACCCATTGATAATATGATTTGCTCTCGTTTGGAGACGGGTAATGTAAATTTACAATTTAATGCTTTAAGAAAAAAAAACAGATTGTATAACAATAGGAGGTGAAGAGATCTGTCAGGCATGTCTAACGCACTTTTCCAGCGTTCCTAGGGATAACCCTGGAATGGGTGTGGAAAGCATAAGAAAGAAGTGGGTAAATCAGAAAAGAAAAAAAATTATATATTTACCTGCGCTTTTTTTTCTTCTTTTTTTTTTCAGCCTGCAGAGTTGGTTTTCTGCCTCATTCAAAGCTTTTAAATGAGACCATTGTCTCAAAGTGATGCATGCCTGTTTAATGTCTGTTTTATTTTAATTTCTTGTACTTATTGTTACTTCAGCGACCGTTATATCTGTAAATGGTACCACATACAATATGCTCTGAGGTTTCTGACATTGTCTATAGTGTCATATCAACAAAGTGCACCTTATATATAATTTATGTATGTTCTAGCCATGAACATTTTTCCTTACATTTTTTGTTATTTGTTCCATAGTGACAAACCATAATCTCCTGAGATATGCCACCTTACCGAGAGAGATTGTATGCACAGAAAATCTTACGCCATGGAAAAAACTGTTGCCTTGTGGCTCTAAGGTCTGTAACTCTGCAGAAAACGAACCATCAATAGTTAATGCTGCTACTTCTGTTGATCCTGCCCTCTGCATCCCCCACTTTTATGTTCCCATGTGGCTCTTCCCGGACTTCGTGCAGAGTGTGACTGGCATTTGGCCCCTTGAAACCCATGTGTTTAAGCTACTCTGTCACCTTGACACTACTAGGGTCTTAAGTGTTTTTCTTATCCTGGGCCTATGCTATCCCTTTGGGACAATCCATGGCCTCATCTGCTTCCTGTTTTCAGGCACGTCCATTCACAGGGTGTGCCGGATTTGGTGAGCCCCACATTCGGCATGGCCATTGTCTGAGCTGTGTCCGAACACAATTCGTACTTCAATTCACACTTTCACTCGTGCTCAAATCTTGCACTGTTTAAGAAGAATCTCTGAATGACATTACCTCACATGAGCGCATACAACCTATGTGGCATTCTACAAACCGGGCCCCCCTTGGCTTGATATTTTTAAATTGATTATATCATGTTGGTAAATAATCAATACTCTGTCTTCTTGACCTGTACCTGAAAGTGGGAGGGTGATGTGCTGGTCACTTTTACAGATGATGACTGGTCTAAGATCTTTAATCTGATTCATAAGACTTTTTTTTTAATTTATTTTTTATTTTTGTTTTTGTTTTTTTAGCTAGACTGAAGGAGACATTACAAGCTTTGCAATTGATGGTACTCTGGCACATACTTTTCTGTGATACCATACCTGTTATATATGGATTCTTTTTCTGTATTTGTACCAGCCTTTTCAGTAAACTGCTATTAAACACCAACCTATATCTACTGTGAGATAAAGTGAGAGTGATAACCCTGTTTGTTTCTAAGCTCCTATTAACTCTATCCTTCTTCCACCATGTCCTGGTTCTCTTCGATTCTGTTTAACACTCATTTGGTAGTTTTTGGATCACTCCTGGCATCCACATCCTTCAATTTCCACTTCCTCTGGATCCCTACATCCCTTGTTCTGCATCCAAAGTCCATTATCATCTGCCTATCACCTGTTGTGCTTGCTCTTATCTTTTAAGACTCTGTTCCTGCATAACTCTGTTCTCATTGGCTCTCTGTATCTCAACCCTGCAATTCTTGACTCCACCCTTTCCTTGCCATGTGTTTCAGTTACTTTGTGTAACCCCCTTGACCAATATAGACTCTATCTCCCTTTAACAGACTCCCTATAACTTAACAATCTTTTTCTGTTTTGCAGGCTGGCCTGGCTTCCTTATTAAAAGCAGAACGTTTGTATTACAGCAGCTACCATTCTCAATCTGTGCACATCCGACCAATTTGCAGGGTAAGACCAAAAAATTGCAATTAAAATTGCTTTCTACATTCATATTATCTAGGGTGAGCTGAGGTTAAACAGAGAAATTGCCCAGTGTTTACATTTGAAAACTATTTGTGTTTTTGTTTATCTTGTTTCAGTAAGGGCGTTATATGTTGTTGGTAATGGCAGTGATACAAATGTACATTTTTTTAGAGTTTGTAAAGTAGTGAAAGACCAATATTTTGTCTGGTATTGGTTTATAATATATAAAATAGTTTTTGTCTTGCCTAGTTCTAAAATGTAACTTATTTTTCAGAATGCTGATTGTTCTAAAGTTTCCTGGGAGTTACGCCAAGCTCTTACTGTGGTCTTCGATATGTATTCCACCGGATTGGGGAAAAGAGGTATCTACAGAGCATGCAATTAGCTATAAAATGATTTGTGTTCCCTAAAAATGCGGTGGCTCATATCACCATGCGATTTCCCTACATTGTGTGGTGGATTGTGTCCTGCATCCTTCTCACGCCTGATTGCATGCTAATTGGTGACATTTTCAGATTTCTTTGAAGATTTAGCTCCTCTCATCCTCCAGTTTTGCCTCTGCTTCACCTCCCTGGTGTCTTTCACCAACCTCTTCAGTCTCCCCTTCCCGTGTGTCTCTCCTTATCACCCCTGCATTGTTAGTGGCAATCTTCCCGCACGCGGCATATCTGGAATGTCGCTCACTGACTGATGCTCACTGAGCCATAAAATTGAAAAAAGAGACCTGTTACCAGGTCTCTATTGCCTTACTGTGGTGATGCAATTTCCTTTGATGGCAGGCACGCATGCTCTGTTGTCTTGACAAGTTATTTTGTGGGCTGGAGGCTGCAGGCCAGTGGTCACGCATATGCGGGCCAGAGGTTGTGCACCCCTACTTAAAGCCAACAGATCCTCCATTGTTATCGGAAAGAATACAAAAATGTGTCTGCTGACATTCTGCTTAGTAGCTCAGTTTGAAATCTAAGTAATTGACAGTTTGGAGTTCTGAGCATGTTTCTATATATTTCTTGCCGCTGTTTGGATAGTTGCAGATCTACAATATGCTTTCAAACTTCTGCATCACTTTTGTCTCATTTCATCAAAAGCCCTTTTCTAATGTAATCCCATAGCCTCTATTATATCTTGTGTTATCCACTTGGTCAATATTGTCATGAGCCTAATTCCCTCACTCTGGTATCAGATGTCTTTTCACACTTTGCTAGACTGGGTTGCTCATTTTGAAGAGGTATGTACAGTGAAAGACCAGATCTGCCTCACTAATGGTAACTAAACTTTAAGGAAAGGGGATATGTTGCAACTTGGCTCAAGTTTATGGCAGTTGCCTCTTCCCTTGACTTTCCCTTGTGATCCAGGGGAGCAAATTCTTCTAACTGAATTGCACCTATTCCTAATGCTTCGTTGGAGGGTGGATGTTGTCCTGCTTTCCGCTTCTGTGACAAATACTAGCACTACGTAAGCAAACAGTAATTTAGTTTTCCCCCAATTACTTATTATAAAATATCCACCTTTGCTATATTCAAATTTAAACATCGCCATGTACAGATCAAAAATGGTGCTGTATAAAAGCTCAAGTCTAATCCAGATTAATACTGAGAGATTACATGCCTTACACATTATGTTCCTTCCTTTTGTCTTTCAGATTGGTCGCTCTTCAAGATGTTCTCTCGTACAATAACTGAGCCGTGTCCTCTTGCAACACAGAGCAAAATTTATGTAGACCCCTCAGGCAGTGAGAAGGTAAAATAAATCGATTTTACAATTCTGATGCTAGGAGTAATTGGCCTGGTGCCCCGGTAATGGAGCAAACGTTTAGAAACAGTTTTTCCCATTACCTGGGACCCCACCGGGCTCTGATGCTCCCTGGTGGTCTGGTGATGTGCCTCTGGCTTCTGCAAAGCCACGGCTGTCGACATTCATTGGCTGAGCGTGTCAGCTGATTGCTCTACACCAATGAATGTAAATCTGTGCGGCGAAAGATGAACAGAATTGACATTCACTGCCCTGGAACTACAAATCTGGAAATCAAAGTGAAATGCTGCACATACAGACTTCAGGCACCATGACCACTTCAAATTACTGAAGTAGTCATGGTGCTTGGGGTAACCTTTAAGGCTGGTCTTCATACATTTGCAGGGTTATGCCCAAAAATAGCCAAATTGGGAAAAGCTATGCTTCCAGATCAGCTGCTTTGACCTTAAATTTTAAACTCTCTCTAAAGCCTCACTTGAGTGAATTACCCTGTCCCTTCACTGGGATATTTCTTCTAATCTGTTTTTAAACAAATGTTTGTCATACTGACTGACAGTCTCCTGAAATATATATTGTAGCCAACGCAAAATTCACAAGGCTCTCTTATTACACTTATTAATGCAATGGGAACTGGTTTATTATACCTACCATATTCAATATTTCTGAAGGCTCCCCTGTCTTTCTTTTCAGGACAGTGAGCTCTTTGATGTGTCTCCTTTAACACAACTGGAGAGCCAGGTTCCTGTCCATGGAGAGAGAAAATTATACACCGTATACAACCTGCTAGAACCAGGAGTTTTCAACACTTCTAGGAACCTAAACATTGCTCTAAAGTGGAAGGGAGGAATTTCTGAGTCAAGTAAGCACAGCATGGTTACTTATTGGCCTCTACATGGCATGTGTAAACCGTAATCCTATTTGATCTCTTGCGTTTTTGTGTACGTAATGTTCTTGGTACCATCAGTACATTACAGTAAATGTATTTTTTGTGCTATTGGAATCATTATTTTTCTTGTCTCCCCCCTCTATTTATACCTCTCTCCACGTGTGCATTTCTGACACACTTTTCATTTATGTCTCCCTTATGTCTATCTTGCCCTAATCCCTTCATCCCCTCGTTTTATCATTACACTCTCATCTCCTGAAGTATCCACCATCAATACCTTCCTACTGTAACACTTCATACCCTCAGCTATCTGGATTGTAGATGGGCTGAGCAGGACTGTGTCTATCTGAACAGCCGAGTGTGCAGTATGCAATGTGATGTCATGTCCTTGCCCACTCTGGTCACAATGCATGCTATGTAGTGAGCTCCAGTGACTAGGTAGTAAAGCACATCCAATTGACCACACTACAATTTTGATTGTGATGAACCAAGAGGGGAGGGTGCTGTGTGCATCCCCTTCCCAGTTGTAATATCCTAGTAAAAATCTAAGAATATGCGTTTATATTAAAGATCTAATAAAAAAAAAAATATATATATATATATATATATATATATATATATATATATTTTTTATTTTTTATTATTTATCCTGTTGCCAGACTAATACTCCTGGATTCAGTTCCCTACCCTTAGAGGGAAATATTTATTTACCAAGCCCAAAAACCTTGATACCACCTGGGAACATTCTTTGAATTCATGACATTAGGAGAAGAGCTTAAAATAATGCTGTACATTGGTACATGAATCATTGCCTTCTAATGTAATAATAAAAGGTTACTCCAAACACCATGGCTACTTCAGTGATTTGAAGTGGTCATAGTGCCTGGAGTCTGCATGTGAAGCATTTTACTATGAGACTTTGCACACACAGAGTTTAACCCCTTTGCTGTCAGAGGCGTAACTCCACCTCCAAACAGCATAACTGGGGTGTTATTAGTTGGCCCTTAATGAGTTATGGACTGACTAATGTCAGTTAGATACTTGTTGGGTGTCTGTTGTCTGGGTGTTTTTATTTCCTTATACTACCAAAAAAAAGCATAACATCTTTATTTTCATTTTCTCTGAAATATAATAACATTCTCTATATATTTTGTTCATCCAGGGGGACAATTTGCCAATAGCCTTCAGATAATTGTGTTCTTTTGATTCATTTTCAGGTCCTCCCCAGCCCCCAGTTTTTCATGCTGAACGTTATGTGAGTGGTTATGGACTACAGACAGGAGTTATTAATACCGTGGTGTATAACAATCACCCATTTAGAGCTTTCCCTGTTATGCTGTTGGAGACTGTGCCTTGGTACCTCCGTCTATACGTTCACACGCTTACCATCACCACCAAAGGCAAAGAGAACAAGCCAAGTAAGTGATGTTGATTTAGATGTTTTCCTGGTCCTGTGGTGGTGGTTTCTTCTAAAACTCAATAAAATTGTATTCTTGCATTATTGCATGAAATGTTCGAGCTTAATATTCCATCTCTTCCTGTAACATATTTGATGCCCTCTCCATCATTTTTTAGGCTACATTTATTATGAGCCGGCGAAGGACCGACAACGTCCTCATCTTCTTGAGATGCTCATACAGCTTCCTCCCAGTTCTGTTACCAAGATCAGCATTGAATTTGAGCGTGCTCTGCTGAAGTGGACAGAGTACCCACCTGATCCTAACCATGGCTTCTATATCAGGTAGATTGCCCTGGGGTTGAAAAGTGAAATGACAAAACTTGGACTTTTTTAAAACTCATAGCTCAGTGTCACATATTGAAGACTATGTGGTTTTTCTTGCTTGTTTGTATTTCCCCTCTGGAAAAGTAAACTCTGACTAATACTGAGCATGAACAGAATGTACCCTACCTTGGTGCACTTTAAAAGGAGCCTGTTTTGTAGTAAGAGACAGAGTAGTGTTTAGGCTAGCTGGGGTGACCTTTTATTCTAGTAAATGGAGCAAGGATATTCCAAAGTATCTAGTAACCTTTATTGTTTTTACTGATCATTCCGTTTCTAAGTTCTTGCAGGTGCTTTATCTTCTCAGTCACTTAATGACTGAAGCAATTGTGGATGCTAGCTATAAATATAATAGGCCTCTCTTGTAAAGTGTGTGTGTGTGTGTGTGTGTGTATATATATATATATACATACCTATCTTATTCTTGTTTTTTCTTTTTCTTTAGTCCTTCGGTTTTGAGTGTTCTCATCCCCAGTGCAGCCACTATGAGAACAGATGAAATGGAGGAGAGTCCCCTCTTTACAACTTTGTAAGTGTATTTGTGTGGACACCACACCCTGACTGTACATTATTCTTGCATACTAAAAAAAAAAAAACTTCTACCAAGATGTTTTGGCGCTCTAAGCATAGTTATGTGTAGTAGACTTGTATTATTGATGCAATCAGAAGCGAAGTGATGTAGGGAGACATTTACATCTGAAGTCCAAAAAGATAACAGATCATTAAAGAATAATGAAGGTATTGGCTCCCCCAATACAAAGTCTAACTTATTCATTCTTAAGTTCTTGATCAAAATCCAAAGTTCAGTCTCCATGCTATTTTCAGTAGAATCTCATTAGGTGAAACAGGCATGTCCTCAAGTTTGTCAGACCTTGGGCAACTGAAATAAAAGTTCATTTTGACACTAATTTTACTACCTGAAAACTTTTTGCTCCATTGAGTAATTCCGTCCGTGTATTTTATATTTTAGTGATGTTGCAAAACTTATATTTCCAACTATAATTAAAAAAACGAAACTTTGAAACTTTCCAAGATAACTGTGAACTCTTTTTACTACACTAAACTCTATATACCTCTTTGTGTTTTTATATTATGTAAGAAAAAGGTGTCTAGAGAGCTTGTTGTAATGAGTTGACAAGAGTCTGTGACTGCTCGGGCTAACTGATAAAAGAGGGAAACACCATGAGATTCGGGACACACAGAAAGACGGCTTGAAACTGTTTATCAGGAGTTAGTTTTCATTTGCAGCTCTACTTCTTAAAAATGTGATCTAAGGAACTGCAATTCTAGCCTGTGTTCAATGCATTGCCACATCAAAATTGCATTGCTTTATATCATATATAGCAGTAATAGTTTTTTTTTTACTTTTTTACCATAAAATGTGCAGTAACTTTTAAAACACTGTCAGGATATGATTACAATCTAACATTTTGTGTTGGGATGTCTAATATTTTGTTCCAAGTTGGTCTTTCTTCTCTGTTTTTGGGACTGTCACTGAGCATCTGTTATCTAAAATATTTGTTGTTATACTATACAGGTGCACTGGCACCCAAGACCACCTTAAGCTACTTGATTTTAACAGCACACAAACATTTGTTCTCACTATGAGCTTTTTTCAAACCTTAGTAATAACCTATATAAATCTCTCACAGCATTTTTATTTCTTTAATTTGTTAAGGTAAGCAAGAGACACTTTAGGGTAAGTTTAAAAAAAATAACGTCTCAGGAATCTCGAAACGCTGTTGCTTGCTTTTTTGTTGCAAAATAATAAAGTATTGTTTCTTTTAATTTTTATTAAATTAATTTTTTTTTAATGGCTAGTTTTTGGGAGTTCCTTCCTTTATCCACTCTAAAGCTTTAGACTTGATAAAGGGAAGAACTACAATACAAAACTCACCAATGTATTGTAGTCCAATTTAAAAATAAATAAAATTAGGTTGTTTAAGGAAACTGGAATACTTAATTTTTTTTCAGCTACACTACTGAACAAATGCATCAATTTAAATATCAATTGTCCTTTTGGTAATTGTCATGTCACTGTAGCTATCCTCCCTTGCAAACTTGCCATCTTCATAATTTACACAAGTTTCTTTTTTTGCTTTGTGCAGTTTGGAGCAATAACTTATGTTTCCTCTGGTTGACAGGTTCCCATCCTCCGATGGATCCAGTTACTTTATGCGCCTCTACACTGAACCCCTGCTGGTGAATTTACCCACCCCAGATTTTAGTATGCCGTACAATGTAATATGTCTGACCTGCACAGTGGTGGCAGTGGGATATGGGTCCATCTACAATCTTCTTACGCGGACCTTTCAAGTTGAGGATAGCAAAGGGGGAGGCTTGGTCAAGAAGCTTGCCAATGTAATACGCAGAATTCGTGGTGTTCCTCCTTTGTGATAAACCATCCAAATGCATGAAATATGGATGAATAAACCTGTAAAAGGAACTTAAAAGTTGACCCATATTGGGATTAAAATTACCATTCCATCCCACCAGAGAAAGAATAAAGTTATTGGGTTAAAAACTACTCTCTCAATTCCAACTAAATGGCAGAGAACTTGTCAGAATCTACCCACCACATCCCCTCCTGGTTTGGTGCTGGGTTGAGGTAAAAACAAGTCTAAACGGAAGAATGTCTTGTGGAAATGCATTATAAACCATTCGCACCACTCAGAAATTTAAAACGAACGATAATTTAAGAGGTGGAACTAAGCCTTCCTGGCTTCCCCTATCCCTGTTTCTCGGTTGTCCAATCCTGTGTGGACACATTTCTAGGAAAAGGGAACTGAATAGTTCTCAGGTGTCCTAATAAATTGCAGTTGAATTGCTACACTCCTCCGAGAACATTAGACCACAGTGATGGCAGCCTCTATGTTGACTTTCATAACCCTTCTAATAAACAGTTTTACACTTCCACCAAACCCTCTTACTTGTTTGCATTCTTTTTTTCTGTAGGGACTATGTTAGGACCTTGGTTTGCAATTGAAAGGATAAATGTTTATAATCTGAAAGGTACAAAACTAAAGGATTGAAAGAAATGTTATAGGGCACCTGTATATATTGTATATGTTGATTTTATAGATCCACTTTTTTTTTTTTTAAAGGGTTACTCCAACCACCATCACTGGTGACTAGTTACATCCTTGGCACATATTACTTAGGTAGCCTGATATTGTCCTGGGCTGTCAAGTGTTAATTTCATGCAATGGCAACAGATGTAATCGGGAACCGTACATGCAAGGGGACGCTTCAATGTCCTCTCCCTCCCTTATTTCAGCATTCTTGCGTTGCTTAATATTTGTCTATTGTTTATTTATTAATTTAATTATAATATCCCCCACTCCCTCTCTCCTCAATGGTGATGTGATCCCAGTGAGAACAGTCCAATCAAATGCTTCTCTGTAAGATGCATTTGATTGGACCTTGCGAGGGAAGCGGTGACATCAGACAGGCATGGAAACCACCGATGACAACTTCGCCTGGTGCTTGATCCCAGGTATGTTTATGCTTCTTTTACAGTTTTTTTGTTGGTTTTTGTTTTTATATTCTTAACTATGAAGGGAGGGGGGACTAAATTATAAGTGTCCAAGTGGGCACTCTAAATTTAAAGAAAACGTGTATTAAAAAGAATTGTCCAAATGTTTGAAATGTTTTTTCGAAACTCCTTAGACGCAGTGGGCAAGACTCCAGTATGGTTTAACGTCTTGCTGTTGGAAAATGCCTAGGCATTGCTGGTCCCATAACCACTACAGCATGCCATATTGGTTATGGTGCTTGGAGTGTTCCTTTAATAATAAATAATATTTTGGTATTGTTCTGATAAACCCCCCTACAATGCTGTTTTTTGGGGGGGTTTTTGTATTCATTTAGCACATTAACTATTCTGTTTTGTTTCTCGTCTTACATTTTATTAATGTTCTCGGACATATGATATTGACATTATAAAGCCAATAAAATAGGGCATTGCATATTTTCTGTGAAAATGGGAAATATATTGTTGATGCTTCAACAAATGTTTTCATGGTGGTGGCAATATTTTTGTTTCCATAGAGAATGTGCATTATCATTTCCCTGAAGTGCTAAGGGGAAGCAGTAGATGGCAGTCAAGTGCTTAAATTCATACGAACATCAAATTGTGGCAAGCGACTCCCCCCTTGTAATAAACTAAACAAACCAAAAAAAAGAATTGCAGGATGAATCTGTCTGGTACATATTTTTCCACGCATGCAACTTGGCACATATACTAACACAAAAAGCAGATGTAGTATAATGCAAATGAGTGTCCATTTAATATTTCTGAGATTCCCTGTTTAAATAAAATGCCCACAGGGTTATGCACTACAGTGAGAATCATCAGGAATTGAAAGTGAATTTCAAATTTAAGGCAAATATCTGAGCTGGAAAAATTGTTAGCCATGCTTTGTGTTTTGCTATTTTGGCCTCATATTTTTATTTTTTTTATTTAGAATTTTCTAGACTGGGTATATATGCCTATATTTTTGCATTTTTCGATTTCTGCTTTTGAACCTTCTTGCAGCAGCAGATGGTTTCAGTGAGTTACTTACAAAGTGCTTTCTCTGTGTTATGACATTTAATTATTTATATGCTTCTTGAACTATTACATGGCCATGTAACAGAACCGCAAACAAAAATAAGTCTGATCGCTTTTGATAATTTCTAAGAGTGTTTGCAGCTCACATATTACCAGCATTATCCCTTAATGCAGACACTATGTGGTTTATGTACTAAAATAAAATCTTATGGATAATCAGAAAAGTGGTGCAAGCATGGAAAGGTGGGGGGGTGAGGGAGGGGAACGGTCAACAATGCAATGTGCCTACTGGTTTCCATGGTAATGACCCAACAAAATTCGCTTTTCAACATTCAGATAAGTGTTGATGATAACCATGAGGATGTGGCTGCCTGCGAGGTTAAACCAGGGCATGCACATTGAAAATATATTTATTTATACATGTATTACAAAAAAATACACATTATGAGGCTATGTTGCCTGTAATATCTTATTTCCAATAAGAACTATGGTTTTCATTTTGATGGAACTCATAAAATTCTATGAAATAAGCTACAGTTGTAATCAAAATTATTTAACCCCCGTTGAAAATCAGGTTTGCCACAATTTGCGGACTTTCCGCTGTTTGCAATGAGCAAATAATGAATACTTCCAGTGGTTTCCCCAAATCCAATTGAAAATGCAACTTATGATTTCTTCAGTCTCAAAATTATTCAACCTCCGGAATAGAATCCCTCACAACAGCACACCTATTCAAAAAAAGGTGTTGTCTCAGGCACACCGGATGCAACTAGTCAACGGCTTCATTAGTTGCACCATGTCAGTTTGAGCTGGAACACTTGAAATACCTGAACTGGTTTGGGGCTTGTTGAGTGTCACGTTTGACTGCTTGTTAGAAATATGGCTAAGTCAAAAGAATGATCCACAAAGTTAAAAGATGAGATCATCCTTCACAAACAGGATACAAAAAAATAGAGAAGACACTGAATGTCCCTAGAGACCCTGTTGGAAGCATAGTGTTCAGGTTCAAAGTTGAAGGAACAGTGGTAACATTACTTGGACGGGGCAGAAAAAAGTAAGTAATGGCTGCATGCAGATTTCTAGAAATGCAGGTTCTGGAAAAACCCTAGAGTGACTGCAAAAGACTTGTAGCAAGACTTGGTGGGAACAGGCACTGAGGTTTCCATGAACACAGTAGGAGCTCCACTACTGACTGAAACGCACAAGAAAAGTCGGCTCCAATATGCTCAACAACATATAAATAAGCAACAGAAGATTTTGGATTCATCAGAGAAATGAAACAAAACTGGAACTTTTCAACCAAATGGATCAGTGGTATGTCTGGAGAAAGAAGAATGAAGCATATGCTGAAAAGAACCATCTGCCTACAGTTAAGCATGGTGATGGTTCAGTGGTGCTCTGGGGCTGTTTTGCATCTTCTGGCACTGGAAACCAGTGTGTGGAAGGCAGGATGGATTCATTGAAATACCTGGAAATCCTAGGAGAAAATGTAATTCCGTCTGCGAGGAAGCTGAATTTGGGGCGTCATTGGACCTTCCAACAAGACAATGATCCAAAACATAAGTTAAATTCTACCAAGGCTTGGTTGCATAAGAAGTCCTAGAAAATTCTACAGTGGCCATCACATTCACCTAGCTCTAACCCCATAAAAAAAATATCTGGATGGGATTTGAAGAAGGCTGTTGCAGCACACAAACCTAACAATAATACTGAACTGGAGGCCATGGCTTGTGAGCAATGGGCTAAGATTCCTCAGGAACGCTGCCAGAAGCTGGCGTCTGGCTATGCATCTCATTTGCAGTACTCTATTAAGTACTAAAGATGCTTGCCATGAAGGGGCCGAATTTGGAGAAACCACTTGATTGTGACTTGAGGTACATGTGGAACTGTAAAATATGTTATGGACATTGTACACATACCATGTGGGATTATGGATCTATATGCACAAAGGGATTGTACACGTACCATATGGAGTATTTTTTTCCATGTCCTGTAGTGCTTCAGGGTCTGTTTAAATTGAGAATGTGTAGGTATTTGTTAGTAAGTGGTGATATAAGAGGATTTAAGCTGAATACTATGTTATTAGTGGGGAAAAGTGTATATATATTGGAATTATAAAATGTGAAGAAACCTCTGTTTCCCATTAAATAGTACAAATAGATAACGTAGGGTGACTGAGACTATTTCTTTTTCTTTCTTTTTATTTAAAAAAAAAAAAAAATTTATGGGTTGTGGCTTGGGTCATGCTGTTCAGAACAGAGCATGTTTATTAAATTTTTGTAATACTGTTGAGTTACAAAAAAAAATGGTCAGAAACAAAAATGTCTACACCGCCCCAGCTGGCAAACAGCATTTCGTTCAGATGCAGCTGTTCTGAAAAAAGGCAGCTGTTCTGAAGAAATGCAGCTGTTGTTCCATGTTCAGCATGCAATGCTAAATTTTATATTCAAATTAACTGAGGTCCTCTGTAACCTAACGCTTTCCAGATGTTGATGGACTGCAACTTCCATAACTCTCGCCCAAGATAGTGAACACTGCATATTTTTAACAGCTGGGAGATTGTTACATTCAATTCAGTCTTAAGATACATTCACAATGGTTCTTTCTATTACCTCATAAGATTGGTACAAGGAATGTGATGGTGGCCTTAAAGTAGGGTTGCCACCTGGCTAATATTTAACCGGCACAGCCGGTATTTGAGGCTGCTTGGCCAGTGTGGGTATTGCCAAAATACCAGTAATGCAAATGCAAATATTTTCTCTAATTAAAATTAAACTGAAAAACCGGCACTGGCCAGTAGGGGTTACTATGTATGGCAGGGATAGAAAGTTATATAATTTCCCTGTCTCTCTATTGACTGAACCTGTGGGGGAGCAGCTGCTTTCAGCCCGCAGACAGACTGCAGGCCAGGTGATGGAGGAACAGGCTGCAAAGAGAGACACTGGGAGACAAGGAAAGACATGGGTGGGAGTTAACACATGGAGAGAGACACAGATGATGGGGGTTAACAGGTTAAGAGAGACATGGATCATGGAGAGATACACATATGGGGGTCTGGACAGGTGGAGAGAGACATATGGCTGTTTGGACAGGTGGAGAGAGATATATAGGTTTTTTGGACAGGTGGAGAGACACATATGGGGTTTGGACAGGTAGACAGACACATATGGGGGTTTGGACAGGTAGACAGACACATATGGGGGTTTGGACAGGTAGACAGACACATATGGGGGTTTGGACAGGTAGACAGACACATATGGGGGTTTGGACAGGTAGACAGACACATATGGGGGTTTGGACAGGTAGACAGACACATATGGGGGTTTGGACAGGTAGACAGACACATATGGGGGTTTGGACAGGTAGACAGACACATATGGGGGTTTGGACAGGTAGAGAGACACGGCTGGGAGTTTGCCTGGTATGAGAGACACAGATGGGGTTGATAAAGGAGGAGAGATACAGATGGGGGTTTGCACAGGTAGAGAGACACAGATGGAGGTTTGCACAGTGGGAGAGACACAGATGGAGGTTTAGACAGTGGGAGAGACACAGATGGAGGTTTAGACAGTGGGAGAGACACAGATGGAGGTTTAGACAGTGGGAGAGACACAGATGGAGGTTTAGACAGTGGGAGAGACACAGATGGAGGTTTAGACAGTGGGAGAGACACAGATGGAGGTTTAGACAGTGGTGGGAGAGACACGTGGGAGACTGGGAGTTGCTGGGAGTGGTTGCCTGGTATGAGAAACACAGACGGGGTTGATAAAGGAGGAGGTGAGATGGAGAGAAGCAAGAGGGTAGTAAACTTTTAAGACATAAAATAAGAGGAGTTGTACAATGACATCCTTTAAAACATGTTACTGAATTAGAGGAAAACGTTTAGTTTTTTCCCCCACCTATTTATTATATATACACCTCCACACATTAACAAGTTTTATTTTTCCTTGCGGTCTGTAGCCTTTGCAAGTCTATGCTGGGGAATACTCCAATCAGAAGTTTCTTGCTGAAATGCCTCCGTGCTGGAAAACCGCATGCAGTCATATATGATCGCAGCTTTCCAATGCATCTCAGTGAGCTGTAGTGTTGCCTATTAATAAGGGGGAAGGTAGGCGTGCTCTGTTGCGTTAATGGTAACGGAAGCGCCTAAGAAACCTTTCTGTCTGTATGAGTCACAGGCGTGCTGTGTTAGACGTCCACTTGTAAAAGTGCTGATTTCTGTTGAAATCTACAATTTTATAAACCTTTTCTTTTTTTTAAATGACAAACTCCAGATACATAAAGCACTTCAGTAAGCTGAATTGTGAGTGAAGTGTAAGCCTATAACATGCCTTGTAAAAATCACCTCTCGATACATAAATGCATGAATGCATTCACGCAAAGCAACATTCAAAACAGAAAATAAAATTCAAGTCATAAATAGCCATATTGGGACTATAGCAAAACTGGAGAACGTTTCCAAGTTCACTACTTTGGCCTTAACTTTGTAGTTTGGTTTTCGATTTTCTACACTGAATTCTTTAGCTATAGGGAATAACCTAAACACTTTTCTATCCTGGCCAGCATTAAGTTTTTCAGAAATATGAGCTACAGTAGCTTTTCTGTGTGATCAGACCAGACAAGCTAGCCTTCGCTCCCCATGTGCATCAATGAGTCTTGGGCGCCAATGACTCTGATGCCGGTTCATCGATTGTCTAACCTTGCACCACTTTTGGTAGGTACTAGCTGCATACTGGGAACACCCATTTTAAAGATG